TTATTGTAGCCTTTGTAAAATTGATCCGCGCAAGGTGGGTTTTTTGTAGAAATTAACGGGTGTGTGGAGTTCTCTTATAAATGCATCACAATAAAAGCATTTCGGAAACCAAGTCGTGTAAGCCGCCATTAGTAAAGTAAAAAACCAGCAAAGCATGTTCAGTGCAGGCGCGAATTGTTGAAGGGAGGTATTAAACGCTTACAAAATGACTTCTAAATTAGCCGGAACATAGTAATACGGGTCTAAAAAATTATCACTAGAGCTGATAGCAACAAAAATCTCTAATTTGATTTTTATTACCATTTTTTGTTTTTTCCTAAAAAAAAATTATTAAATTTTTGTAATTATGTCGTCCTCCTGCAGGAATTCAAATATTGCCATTTGATACAATGCCTTTCAGTACAAATACCTAAATATTGTTTCTTTTTTAACCTCATTATTGTATTATTATAGTACACTAATTAGCTTTTATGGCATTATTTATTGAAAATTATAGCACTAGTGTTAAATATTATAGTTTTTAGAAAATAAATTCCCAGTTTTTGCAAAGTTATATTTTTGGTGATAATACAAAATATATTTTTCTTTGAAAATATTCCCACGGTAAATCAATATGGACTGTATTTGAAAGAACTCAGGCATTACGTACTCATTAAAATGTAAAAGTGGACTTTAAACCGAGTAGAATTTTTAAGTTTCAAATCTTATGGCATTCGGACGTTTATTATCAATTTACTAAAAAATGTAATCATCTAAATAAATAATGTACGATTCTGATATATTTTGATTTTTTTTTGGATAAGTTTAGGCAACACAATTGAATAAAAATTTGGTTAATAGTAGATATTTGTATTTCGTCTCAAATCAATAATATTAATTCTTAAAAATTACGCGTGTTTGATGCATTGTACATTTTACATCAGTAATATTAATATTTTCTGTGTAAAATATAAAATATTGATCTTAAATTAATCTAATTTGTTTCATACGTGTTGCAAAATCCATTTTCCGTGTAAAGCAACCGATACCTGAAAAAATACAAACGCCATGAATTCCAATACTATTGAAACTAAAACCAAAACTTCGGAAAAACATATAGACAAAATACGTCGTCGGTTCGACTGCAATACATGTCAAAGGAGGTTTACAACCAAAGGTAATTTAATCCGGCATATTACGAAATCGCATTCCACCGGTACTCCCGTGGAGAAAAAAGCGCCTCAAAAAGATAAAGTCAGTCATCGACACCCCAGAATCAAAGGGTATACTCGAAACGAAGATGGCTTATATAATTGTGGCATTTGTTTAAAAAGTATTTCAATATTATCGAACATGAGAAGACATTGGCGCATTCATACGGACGATAAGCCTTTTAAATGCCTAATATGCGATAAATCGTTTAATCAACAAAATAATCTCAAGACACATGCACGTATACACACCGGCGAAAACCCATACAAATGCGATATCTGCGAAAAAAACTTCAGTCAACGATCTCACCTTAAAACCCATGAAAGCATACATCATATTGGTAGGGCACGATATAAATGCTCCCTCTGTCGAAAATCGTATAGCCGCCAAGATACTCTCAATAGACATTATGCAAAAGCACACGACTAAAGCCTTGTGTACCTCTCGTGACCTTTTGGCAGTTTTTTAAATAGTTTTAGTAACAATTTTTTTATTATTTTGTTTTTATTTTTACCTACAGTGGTATTCTGACGAAAAATACCGGATCCTCATTGTTGTACCTATTAATGTAGTTATACATTATAGTTTTAACGCTAAATTAAGATTTTACGAAAAATTAATTTTACTTTTGTCCTTAATAACAATGGCCAGGTATCGCTCTATTAATTTTGCCTTAAGACAACACTTAAAAGTACATATTATGCGAATCAACTGTGGAACAATAACAGATACACTTGTGTGTAGTAATTGTATGTTTAAGCATTGTACGTATTAAGTCGTAGATTTAAATTTTAAAATAAATCGAATACAAAGTTAATATTCAACGTTTTTAATTGAATGAATATACATTTATACTACCTCGATATTTCCTATACAACTGTTCCACTTGTGAACGTGGTCTGACAGAATGGAATGCTTGTTTTTTTTAAATTCAACCAAAGGTTTTCCTCGATTAATATCAATTGATCTGGATACAATTTTCTAAAAATATTTTCATTTTCTGTTTATACTTGTTTATATTGTAATGGTTTGGATTTACTATCCACCGATTTGCATCAAGGGTAATAAATTCTAATACAATAATTAGAAAAAGGTGTATCCATAACGGATAAAGACTTATGTAAATGCATTAATACATGTTATAGGGTGTCGATGAAGTAAGTTTACAGCAAACTTTGAAAATTTGATCTGTTTGCCTCATAAAAGGCGCGACAGTTTACCTCCACGCTGCGGTGTGCCTCCACCTATGGCAATTACTCGTTATCACCAAACGCACACTATCACAACTTTGTTGTCGTTCAGTTTGCATTAAATTCCCAAATTACAATTTGTGATTCACAAATATTATGAAAAACAGTTTTGTTGTTGTTAATAATATTGATATTTCTTTTTTAGAACTCTGTATTTCTGTGAATTATGACTATTAACTAGTTAAATTAGATTAAGCGCCATAACATGCAAGCGAACATTTTATCGTTAACCACTCGGATTATTTGTGCAATTACTGGTCATTCAAACAGTGAAAAGTTTAAATCAGTTTGAATGACCAGTAATTGCAAAAATAATCTGATTACAGATGTCAGCACATAACTAGTACTACATTATTGTTGCTACGCGTCCGATTTTAATCATAATAACTTGGTCAAATTTGTGATAAATATCTAACGTATTGCGTCGTGTTTCGTTATTGACTTACAATAATTGAGTTTTGTCTTGCCTATAATTTATTTATTATACATTTTAAGTAGCAGCCCTGGACAGCGGTTTACGGTTCTACGTTGTGTGAGTACCTACCGTTTTGTATTTCAAATTTATTTACATTATCTGCCTTCCATTGACTTAGAATACTGCTTGTTAATAAATAGAATCATAATCTATATGTGTTTGTTTATTACTTATTATTTACTCAGAGTTCGATTGAATGACATGGAATCAACGCCACTTTAAATTAAGCTATGCGATCAAATGGGCTATCATCTAGCTTTAATCTTTATCGTCTTAACTTCTTACCTACAAGTCATACTAGTAGTATTGTGTTATTCATCTAATAGTTAGATTATAATTTAAGTAAATTAAAATTTAGTTTTAAATATTTAAAACAAATTCAAAATATACCACTGAAAATATTGGTGAATTTTTATTTTTCAGATCATGTAAACTAAATTTTTCTTTATTATATCATTATTATAATTAAATAAAATAGTTAAAATTGTGTAATTAAGTTGCACTATTAATTCTCTATGCATGTATAGCACAGAAATACAACTAATGTCAAACATTTATTATAGAGTTTAGAAACTGTATACGTTGAAAATTAAACATGAAAATTATGAAACAGAAGAACACTCCTTTGAAGTCATTGAAACTAAACCGTTAGATGTGCAATTAAAAAACAATGAAATTTCTACAACAGAAAAGTATTTAGTAAAGAATGAAGGCGACAATACTTATGAATAAGGCTATTTCAATACTTTTTTTTTTACTAAATAAAACAATTAAGTTGCTGTATTGATGTCATCCTACATAATTAAAAAAAAAAATTAATTATTGATGTCCTAATTTATTTTAAAATATCTAGTGATAATAATATTGTTTAAACAATTATTTTTGACGTTATAAGAAGTAAAGTAAAGTATGAACTTTTCTTGAGTAACTTAATGCACTTATCTTTACCTTCTTCTGTACTTAGCTTGTTTTTAATCTATTATAAATCATAAGGGCTTATATTATATTAAACATTAGAGTTTATTTAAAGCTTGTTATCGAGCAGACAAGTTTTTCAGTAAAATATATACTATTTTTAAATAATTGTTTGGTAAATACTGTTTAATAAGTTATATATATATATATATATAATACATGAGTAATTTCAATTTTTATTTCCACATAAGTAAAACTGTTTATGTTATAATAGTGAATAATACAGAAATCATGTAATTTATTCTTCAATTGTATGAGAACTTATATTGCTGAAATGGGTCGCATGGCACTTATTTGAATCCTTTTAACGTGGCCATGAACTGTTTTATTATACTTACGCTTTTATAAATATTGTCTATGGGCTTATGGTCCAAACCCACTGTACTCGGTTTTTTTTTTAAATTCTTTTAAAACCTTTTGGAAATATTTTATAGTTCTATCATCGTTATTATTGTGTTCAGTAACTGTGTATTTGTTTTCTAGCACTGGAACGTTCTCAAAACATATTGTAAGTCGTGCTATTTATTTCTCCAGAACTATCTATTGAAATAAGAAAAAAACGTACATTGATATTGTTTTAGTGTACTTTTTCACCGCCACTGTACTATATGAATTGCTTCCCACAGGCTATTCTTAATTAGTATACATATTTTCATCACTAATATTAACACCGAAGAGTTTATTTAAAATCAATTTTATAACATAAAATTATAGTTTTATACGTTTGTCGTTTAATAATATTATTTTTCGACTATTTTTTCAAAAAAATATGCCTTGCAAAATCTGTTTGACGAATCGTTTCTTTTGATTTTGAGTTTTTATTTGAAAAAGTTGAATTAAATGTAAAAAAAATAATGTTCAACATGTTACAACAGACATTTTACCATTTTTGTCTACAAATAGTATGTAAAATTGTATAATTAGTACACCTTAACTATTAAATCAATAAAGTAACTTTTTTTATTTTATTCTACAGTTTCTTTTTCCTTATCCAAAAGTTGATTGTATGAGCTAAATTGTGGTTTTTTAACTTTTACTATACTCATTACCATCGATGAACGTTATACTCAAATAAATAAATACATTAAAATAATTGTACGTTCTAAACACATTTAATTAAGATGAAAATTAACATTTTCAATAACTGAATTAAACAACAGCTAAATTTTTTAACTCTTCTGAAGCTTTTTCAGCGTTTTTTCTAGCTATGATATCACTTATTAGACCTGTGAATTCACCTATTGGTTTTTTTGATAATTCACAGATTCGGTTTATTAGATATCTAAAAACATGTTCATTTACAACAATTTCTGAAACAAAAAACTTGCTATAACTTAAAAACGTAAGATCAATTCATATAAATTGTTAGAATACAAACAGCAGTTATACACCGCACAACTGATTAAAAAAAAAAAATATTAAATCCGAGGAATTTTTACAACGGTACCGTTTCTATTTTATGTTAACTCCATACAAACAGTTTCTTAAAAATTATTATTAAATGATAAATTAAGTAAAATTAATGTTTACCAGAATATGGCACTGTTTTGCCTTCTTTGTGTTGACGGCCATCAAAACAATTATATGTCGCAGTATGCGCAAATTCTGTGGTATCTGTGGGATAACCCACATTCTCCAAAAACTGTACCAGTGTAATGGTATCGCGTGGGACTGTATCAGGATGAGGATGGTTAGCCTTTATATAATCTAAAATCTCATGAAAAACGCGATGTATGGCCTGAAATTGAATTACATTAATATCATTACACGTGATTACATAAAAAACTGATAATACAATTTAAATTCATTTAGGCTAGAGATCAACATAAATCGAACAATCATTAACGTGATACAAGCCAGAGAACGGCATAATTCCAATAAATGTATAATTAAATAAATTCGTGAAAAAAAAAATAAAATTTTTCCATTATTCAATTAACCAAGATGAAAAATCCACAATTAAATTGGCCATTTACTTTAAAACGAAATTTGTATGACTGAAACTCATTTATGATTGAGGTTTACGAACCGAATGAGTCGGATAACATTCCAGATAAATATCTGTTTTTTATTCGCCAACTAAAAAAAAGTTGTATCTCCAAAATAAAACAAATATATTTTACAGAATTTGACCAATTGATTTAAATAGAATACTCGTGCAATAAAAATAATTGTTACATTATAATTATCAATAATCTAAATTAGAATTTAATGTTAAATAGAAATAAACCACTGGGTAACTAAAAAAAAAAACTAAATTATAAATAAAAGTATAGTTTTTGTGCATTAAGGAAATCGGCCTTTTAGCCCACCTAGAGAAAATATTAATATATCAGAAAAAAAAATGAAATCGGTTCGGTTCAACACTTTTGTAAATTCGCATTTTAGTATTTAATTGAATAAAATTTGGCACTCTCCTATAGCTCATAATAATTAATAAAACATAATAGGTACAATAATATTAAACGTTCTATTTTAACAAAAAAAAAAAATGTATGACATTTTTTTATATTTTTGTGGTACTGAAATACAGTTAGGGTAAAATTTGTATCTATTTAGTACTATTATTTTCGGATTATGGAAAAATAACAATCATTTACAATAAGAATAACAATCTGTACGTTTACAGTGCGTACATTTATTAATGAGATAAATTCTAATAATATTTTTTCATTAAGTTATTATTTTCTTGTTATAAGACGTATTTGTAAGTTAGTTAAACATAGTCCAAGTTTGCATTAATTTATTTATGTTTAGTACGGAAAGTCGAAAGACTAAACCGATTATTATTAAGATTTTTAACCGGCAATCTAAAAACCTTTAGAAACCATGATGAAGTAAAAAATAATTTAAGCACCCATACAGGCTGAAGCAAGCGCCCCCCCCCCCCCATAAGAGCAGCCAATACGGCCTGGTAATACTTTTAATGTCTAAATACACTTGAGAGATTTAACAATAGTGGAATACCATACATGTTTAAACGTTTAGTTTACTGTACGTAATTTGATACAAATGATCTACAAAATATGTATAAGCAATTGTTAGAAAAAATTATATATACCTCTTTTTCCTCTTGTGTTATCTCATCAGAGTTAACTGATGGAGTAAAAAATGTTAGACACAATAAAATAAAAATGTTCATATTCATAATTATTGTATTGATATTTTTTCGTTTTCAACAAGGCTACAAACTTTATCTGAAATCAGTAGACAATGATTGTTATGCTCAATAATAGGCAGTTATATAGCAAATAGTTTTGGATCAAACATTTTTTTTTATATTTACATATATGTCAAAGAAATTCACACTACATTCGTTCACTGGGCAAACACAAAAAATTCCACCAAAGAGTTGACTATTTGTTTAACATGGCATGACTGTGTTGTAGATTTAATAGAAAACTTTTAGAACAACAACTATCTAAACGTTTCTTCGGGACTATTTTTTAGTGTTATAATGTTTGAATTGCAAACCAACGGAAAAGCCAAAATTAATATATGTAGGCAGAGTCTTTGAAATCAGTTGACAACTACTACATTTTTATTTATGTAAACATTGGCGACAAAACCGCACAGCGCACAAAAACTTGATTTTCTCATAATTTGACGAGAACAAAGTATCTTAGTTTAAATATGGGCAAATATGGGCATAAACACTACAATAAACTAGAAAACCATAGGCAACTCCTTTTCTTCTTTATTTTTTTATCGTGTCCCTCGCGCATGTAACACATGTGTAAAATATAAAATATTTTTTACCCATACAGTGACTTGTTATTCTGGATTTTTTCATCGGTGCCGAGTAAATAGCAATACTGTATTTCGAATCAATCTAAAGGCAAGGCATTTGTTTTGCGATGAGCTGTTTTTCTTTTGCATATGTTTACCACCGAGCCAAAATCGTCTGCACCATACTTAATATTTTTTCTAACTGTATATAGCGTTCACCTAATACTTCATATTCAACGCTCCATGACGGTTTTTTAGATACGAGCACACTTGAGTCAATAATGTGTACATAAGTTTCCAATAACATGTTTTTTGGGGTCACAAAAAATCCACTTTACACTTACAGGTGGAGTCAATAATTTTTCTTGCAACTAAACGGCGTAACGCCATTTTAAGATGTACAGAGTGATCAAATCAACGTAGAACACTCAAAATTTTGTTAGGAAAATTACGATTTTGTAGTCTTCTCTTTTCAAAAAAAAGATGTTGTTTGTGTAATTTTACAACACTACGGAATTACTAAATATTTAATATTTATGGGATTATCCCAAGGTCTATCTACTTTTGACACTTGAACCCTAATGAGAATCAACTATGTCACCAGAAAGATTAAATAGTTTAGCCATATTAATATTAGTATAGAGTAATCCATAACCAAAACAATTGTTAATTACGATTATTTTTTGTATCTGGCCACACATACGTCCACAGGGTGGCCGCCGAGTGGCCGGCATGTGCCTAAAACCAACATATGGCATGCGACACATAATTTTATGTAAAATATTTTTAACGACTCTAAATTGAGAATAAAATTCTAACTGATAATTATATGTCCCTTACCATATTATGTTGGTTTCGGTCACATGCCGGCCACCAAGTGGCCACTCGGTGGACGAAAAAATGGCCAGATACCAAAATATCATGTTACATATCAATTCAGCAAGATTTTTTTCTCCCATTTTTAAATCTGGCATTATTTTTTTCGAAAGACAGTTTTTTAATGAGATACCAGTTCTATTTTATATAATTTTAAAATTAAAAAAAAAATGATTACCATTTATTGTACCCATAGAGCATCCTGAATGTTTTTTTAAAATGTTCATTTTTTTATTTTTAATGAACTTCTCCAAAAAACTGCTGTAAACCGCTTTTCCGAATTAAATACTAGCTACGCCTGTTACATTTTATAAAATGTCTTCATCAAACCCTTTAGGCCTATCAGTTACTATTTAAGAAAACTAAAATAATGCTTCTTTAATCAACCACTTAATATACTGTGCTGGTTACTGAAATAACTAAAAAATATTATTTTTATCGGCCAAATTTGAAATTAAATGTTTACTGCTTGTAAGCAAGCGATAGAAACATCTCCATTTCCATCGGCGGCCCATTAAAAACTTAACTAAATCTAATTAACTAAAAAACTAAAACTAAACAGATTTTTTTTAAATTAATACATTTTTTATTTTTGATAAAATATTTACAATAAGTAAATTAGTTAGCTATTTAGAGAGAAAATAGAATGCAAAACAGTCAGTGAATAACACGAATAAGGAATCTCAAAGTTGAGACACCAAATTATAAGATTTGGTTTTGCTGGTCACCAGATAATAACACCATAAGTTCATATTGGGTTCAAAAGGGTAGTGTTAAAAGGGAGCTTGTTTTTTATTGGTATTTTTTACTGTAGAAGAGGTCGAAGCTTATCTAGTCGACAGTTGAGTGCTTTAAATGTGGTGGCCAGGTTAGGAGCTTGTTCAAAATTAAGCCTAAATATTTGATTTGAGAGCATCAAATGGGTATGGGAGTTTCATTTAAAGACACAGTGTGACGCGAGCTGATATTGTTTCGTTTAATTGTATTTTACAATTTTTTAACCAGGTTTCTAGTGAGTCCAGGTATGTATGTATATTAATTGTATATGTAGTGAGAGAGCGAGAGTTGTGGAAAAACATATTCTGGCTGGCCACAACCACATTGGTATTGGGTTGGCTTAAATAAGATTTATGTAAGAACAATTCAAGAGTGCGAAAATTAATCCTACACATTATTTCACTTTGAATAGTACTTTGATTTCATATTATTCTTCAACAAGCGCTATCGTGTGCAGGGCCGGTGCTAAGAAATATGCAAGGGGGGTGTCAAAATGAAGATGCCGACTTTAAAATTTTAATTGCCGACTAAAATATTTGGGTACTTTCGTAAATATTTTATGACATTTTACAACACAAGTCACAATTTTTTGCTATAATTAATGGGAATTAATAATTGTTGAAAATTATTTTTTTTTTTAACTTTGAATTATTATTTTTTTAAGTATTAATAATACAAACAAATTTAGATAGTAAAAAAACCATCAAAAGTTAAACTTAAATATGGCGTTTTTTTGATGCGGACTATTTCCTTGTTATTTCTTCCAAATCAATTATATCGAGAATATCTCTGATGGAGTTTAAAATCGTGAGGGTCATTTTTTATTATTTTTAAAAGAATAAGAAGAAGAAAAATGATAATGATGTGATATTTTTATAAATTGTGACTAGATTTTTTGATTTTTAAAATGTTTTTCGGAGCATAGAAATATTTTAGGCAGCCAACAAATGTATTTATTACTAAATGTTCAGATCTCAGTCACCAATACTAAAACAATTTGAGCGCTACATTAAAAGTATTATTTTAAAAATGTTTGAATTCATTTAACATAATTATAACGTATTGCAGTTGAAACTGCAATTCAACCGAGATATAATCCAAATAGCCATATTTTAAATAATTTTATAAAACATAATAACATTGTTTTCAAAATTATTATTAACATCTTTGAAATAAAAACAAAAATTTATTTTTTTATGAGTTATTATCTAAATACAATTTTATTTTTATTTTAGTTAGGTACACTATTAAAAATAATGCTCATGTCTGCTCCCTGCTCGCTATATATATAGTATAGTAGGATATTATAGTAGGTAATATCCCACCGCAACGATAGTAATAAAGAAGAAACAAGACATAGTGAAGTAGTACCAAGGAGCTCTCATAGGCCTTAAAAATACGTATCCATCTCATTTGTTCAAAATTTACTCGGGCAGGCTCAAAAGGATTGTTAGCAGCTCCTTGGTGTTACATATTCATTCTCTAACCATATATATATATATATATATACATATTAGATTACACACATTTATAACCAATACTTATTATTTTACACGCGCACACGGGTCAAGCAAAAATAAACCCGCTAACTCTTTGCCTGCAGACTTAATACTATGGGTTATGTGATATGTCTAAAACAGAAGAGTAGGTTTTTTTTTATAGTAGGGAATCTTTTAGAGTTTTAAAACTAAAATAAAATAATATACTTATACAGGGATAGAATGTTTGTTTACAATAGACCAATAGGTCCCATGACTGAACATCGTTTGATATAATATACACCACAGTTATTATAAACAAATAATAATACTTCTGCAAAATCGGGAATAATCGAAAGTACATTATTTTTTTTTTACTAAAAACTAAAATTATATTTTCGTATGGTCGTCCGTATGCCGACTATTCACTATTCAGTCGCCAGATTCCAATAAAAATTATGTACCTACCTACTTTTATAAAATAAAAATAACAAACATGTTATTTGTATAATTTTATGGGGGTTATAATATTTACCGACTTTTTGTTCCGAATGTGTCGACTAGGTATACTTGAGTTTTCCGAGTGGGGGGGTGTCAAACCCCCCCACGCCCCCTCTAAGTCCGGCCCTGATCGTGTGCTAGTTTGCAAGTTTGTAAAATTGTTTTTGTGGTTGTGTATTGATTTAGAAATGTGTTTTTGTGTGAGCTATTATTCATATGTTATTCACTTCGGTACGAAACCGAGAAAAATAAAACGCCAAAAACAAATAATTGTGTTTTTACACCCAATATTTCAATTGGAAACCTAAATTTGGGCCTCTGCGGTGAAGGGTTCTGCACACGTTGGAAAAAAATCGTTGTAGACAGAATTCAAAAAAATATTATAGGTATATTCTATTTAGTGCAAACGGTGTATGACTATCATGTAACTGTTTGAACAAGCCTACAAAACATCACAACAAAATAATATGTTTTCTTCTTATTTCAATGAATAACACTTATACTGTGTTTTCGTGTAAGAAACTAAATATACACTTATAACTTAAAAAATAATTATTCAATACTACTTGTCGACCGGTCAACATGTTTAGTAAATTTTTCCCAATTTAAAATGTTAAGGAATTAATGTATACGTTACCATTCAATTTTCAAAAAAGTCGATAGTACTCTACCAAAACGATGCGAATTTCAATATTGTTCAATTTTGTATAATAACATCAACTATTAATACAATATTGTAGTTATTTTTAAAGAAAACCAGTGTCATGCGTTAAATGAATCACCCTGCACTAAAATATTATTTATTTGATTAATTTTAATGATAATACTCTTAAGTCTGAAGTCATAAGATATTTACTTAAATTTTTTTGTTTTTGATTGTCACAATCATTTTATAGACAGACTATCGTCTATCAACCCTAATCGTATCCATCCTAACACTAAAATGTAATTTATAAGCACATAATTGTCATTAGTTACCAGGCTTTTATCGGTATTTATATTTTTATATGTGAACATTGGACCTCCCATATTTTTTTACTTACTACTAAGTTTTATTATTATATTCGTTGAAATTTATAAATTTTTAATAATATCCGATGATTTATTTGAACATTTTTTTTTCTGTATACCTACCTAATTTTAAAATTAGGATATTTTTAGTAATTTTTAATAAGTTATTAAATAATAGTGCATTGAGTTATCAACAATTTTAAAAATCTTTAGCACAGAAAAAATTGCTGGTATCAACTATGAAAGTTTGATTATTTTACAACAATTCTGAGACACTTGGGTTTTGATTCGCGCGAAATTTGTTTGATGTGAACAAAATTAAATTTTTCTATAAAAACGACCATTGTATTCTGTAAAAAAAATACAGAATCCTCATCGTTGTACCTATTAATATAGTTATACACTATAGTTTGAACACATTGCGAACAATTTCCTACCTGAGTTGGAAATTTCATCTGATTGCCTCCAAAAAAGGCGCGACAGTTTACTTCCACCTGTGGCAACCACTCGTTATCACACAAACACACACACTATCACAAATCTGTTATCTGTCTAAAACATTTTAGCGTTGTCGTGCAATTTGCATTAAAATCAAAATTATTATTAAATACCATTTGTGTTGTTGGTAATACCTAGTTGTGATTTATTTATGCACTCTCTTCAATCTGTAAATTATAAATAGTTCAAGTTCAATTAGATATTCAGGGCCATAGGAACAATTTGTTTTAATTATTGTACCTACGGGTCCGATTCGTAAAAATCAGATTTTAATCATAATAACTTGGCCGAATTCTGTGATAAATACCTAACGTATTGCGTCGTGTTTAGTTATTGAGTTACAATTGAGTATTGTCTTGTCTGTAACTTATTTACTATACATTTTAAGTAGCAGCCCTGGACAGCGGTTTACGGCTCTACGTTGTGTGAGTACCTACCGTTTTGTATTTCTAATTTATTTACACTATTGCCGTGTTTTCTGTCTTTCATTGACTTGGAATACTGCTTGGGAATAAACAGAATCATAATCTATATGTATTTGTTTATTACTTATTATTTACTCGGAGTTAAGTCGAGTAGTACAAGATCAACGCTACTTTAAATTAATCTGGTCGGCAAAATGGTCTATTGTCTAGCTTTAATCTTTATCGTGTTAGCTTCTAACCTACAAGTCATACTTGTAGTTTTGTGTTATTCATCTACTTTAAATAAATTAAATGTGTTTGATTATAAACTTTTTATTTTCCCTTGTCTTTTTAATAAAAAATAAATTGTATTTCGCATCTTATGTGTGTTTTAGATAAGCTAATTTTGCAATTAGTTAACAATCAAACACAGAAAAGCTACATTTATAATCTATAGTGTAATACACCCAAAACAATTATGGAAGTTATTATGCAAGAGCACTTCGAAAAAATTTACCAATTCTATGAGTAAGTATGAGTGTAATTGTACAAGTAGGTATTATTTATTACCGAATAATGTTTGTATTTTTATTTTGCCCTTTCAAATAATATAGCGATTCCTGGGGTGTAGGTATGCAACTTTTACTTCAATATATACAAATGACCATTTTATCGTGATCCACTCAATATCAAAATTTTTTGCAAAAACCATAAACTGATATCACAAACCGATACCCGATAAAACCAATATTACATGTTACTGGCCATTGATTATTATGGTCCAAACATCGGTTTCCAAAAAAAACCGATATCACTTGTATTGTCAGATATCAAGTATTGATTCCAGTTCAATTTTTTACAATTTTTTTTGTATGTATCTCTACCAAATTAGTTTTTTTGATACCTATTTTTGAAATGCAAATAGTATCGCATTAATTTCGTTAACTTTTTAAAATAAGAATAATGTAATTAAGATTTTGACTGGTTGATAACCAATTTTGGATAACTATTTTTGAAGTTATCAGAGTTTCAAGACAACAAAATATTGTTTTTGAAAAATTGCTATCACATTTTATAAAAACATAATAAAACAAATTTCTTATGAATTTAATAAATCTTAAGTATATATATATATATAATACCTTAATTAATATTATATTAGATGAAACAATAATTGAAAATGTACTTTTTTTTGTAAATAAAAAACAAATTATGCTAATTGAATCGTTTAATTCAAATCATTCATTTAAAAATGTTGTATCATTTTATTACATAATCTAAATATCAGAACCGATACTTTGGCTATTTCAAAAGCTTTGTCTAATTTAATTTTTTTGGTTTACACTATAAAAAAGCGAGAAAAAAAGGGGTTTTTAAACATTATTATCAATATTTATTTAATTCTTATAATTATAAGTAAAATATTTTTTTTTAAAAACAGTATTTTAAGATACTAAGAAAACAAAGGTTTTCATTCCACATTTATGTATACTTATTGTATATTTTAGTATTGCTTTTCAGAAATTTTTTTTAAAAATATGAATCTTATAGTCATTTATAACTACTAATGCAAGTAAATAAATTAATACGAATACTTTTTTTTAGGGAAAAAGAATTTTGTGATGTAACCTTGGTTACCGATGAAGGCTTAAAAATAGAAGCTCACAGAAATATATTGGCTTCTGCGAGTCATGTATTTTATACGATGTTCAGCGGGCAGTTTAAAGAAAGAAACGAAAATGAGATTTTTATAAAAGAAATAGATTCTGAAATTTTAGAATTGGTGGTGAAATTTGCATACACTTGTAAACTGGATATTAAAGAAAATAATTGTGAAGTAGGAAATATGCAATAGGATATACAATTTATAAAATATTACTCCATTTTAATTACTTGTTATTAATTTTTTTAGAAACTGTTGATGGCTGCTAATATGTATGGTCTAAATCATATAAAAGAGTTATGTTTTAAACATATTAAAGAAAACATAAATCCTACAATTTGTGTGAGTTTTATGAAAACTTCCAAATTAATATCAAACGAAAAGATTTACAATTTTTGTTGGTCATATTTTTTAAACCATTTCACGTGAGTAATCAGGTGCGACAAATGTGTTCGCAACAATTTTTTAAATATTCAACTATTCAATAAAACAAAGATTTTTTTTTTAGTACAATTGTGAATTCGGATCAAGCATTAGAAACACTTTATGGCTATGAGTTTGATGATGTTGTCGAGTTTATTGCACGTGATGATTTAGTAATCGACTCTGAGGAAAAGGTAAAATTATTGTGACTTAAGAAAAGATAAAAAATTACTTGATTTTAATTTTGGTTCTATTACAGTTATTTATTAATTTTTATTTTAGATATTTGATTTTATCATTGGTTGGATACACTATAACACAGATGAACGTAATGACTTGCTACCGGTTCTTATGAAATATTTACGTTTGGCTTTAATTTCAAAAGAAGGACTACAAAGGATTTATAATGAACCATTAGTGAGAAATAATAATGATGGTAAGTATATATTATTGAAATTCCAATCGGGGCTGCATTTGATCTAACATGTTGCCCCTTATTTGTACATAAAATAGTGTCTATAGGTGGAATATATTATTGATGTGTCTTTAAATAAATATTATTATTGTTATGCTTTATTAGTTATGACAGGCATAGTAGAATATATGATAAATACTTACAACAATTCAAAACCATCATATACTTTAGGAAGATGTACTCAAATTGAATCGCCAAATGTATGTAGACATTTTTAAACTAGACTGTTATAGGTACACATCAATTTTACTAGTTATGTGATTGTATCACCTGACATTTGTATATAATATGTGTATTCAGATTGTTTTTGCAATTACTGGTCAATCAAACAATGTCAGTTCCTGTGTGAAGTATATGGATATTAGAAATGACAATGACTTAAGATGGAAATCGAGCGATCATTCATTTTTTTTGCCTTCCCGTAAAGGCTCAAAGATGGTAGTCTCTGAAAATGGGATAATACTTTCCATTGGTGGTTTAAATGAGACTGGTCGACGGGCAACTCTTGTAGACGAGCTTGATCTTAAGTCAGAATCAAAACAATGGGTCTCTACAAGGCCATTAAATCGACCTCGAATAGGCTTTGCTGTTTGTACATACAAGCAGTACATATATGTCGTATGTATTAATTTCATTGTAGTTAACATAACACATTATTAAAAAGGAAATTTTTTTTTATTCAGGTTGGAGGCTGTGATAGTTTATGTATTGGTTTTTTGAATTCTGTAGAATACTATAATACAAATTCAAAAGTATGGACGGAAATCACTGAACCAATGCCCACTGCACGATCCGGCTGCGGTGCTGTAGTATTTAATAATAAATTATATGTTGTAAGTAAACACAACTTAACCATAAATACCATGCCTTACTACTAAGCAAGTTTCTGCGTATACTTTATTAATTTGTATTACAAAAAAATAAAAAAATATATTAATGTAGTAACAAGCTATTATGGTTTGTAAGCATTTTAATCAAGTTTTATTGTTTTGTGTAGTTTGGTGGAAGAAATGATAATTATCTTGCAACCGTAGAGTACTATGATTTTGAAAAAAAACACTGGAGACAACTCGATCCTATGCCGATTTGTATTGTAAACATGGATGTGTCAAGAATAGAGAACGTCGTTTATCTCATTGGTGGTTTTCATACACCTCGTCGAGTTTTTAAATTCGATTTACATCATTTCAAATGGGACGAAGTGCCTGAAATGAACGGGGATTGTGATGGCTCAAGTCTGTACATATTCAATCAAGTATATAATACATTTTTTTTACTCATAAATGTTAACAAATGCAGGTGTTGGTATCATGAGAAACGACTTATTCGTGATTGGGAATAATAGTGGACAACTTCATTGTGAAAGATATGACAGAGGAAAAAATCAATGGCAATTGGTTGACAGAGTAAATGTATCAACCCACACTAGTCGTATCATTACTTTTAATGATATTACTCTTAAATCCTATGGTATTCAATTGTGATACTTTTTTTTTTTTTTTTTTAATAATACCTTTTTGTGAATTCAATTTAGTCTTAAAATTATTTACACATTTTGTTGTTGATTTTTATTTGTATTTCTTAATACCTTAGAAGAACTTGAAACGTTTTGTTATAATACTGTTTTAGTATAATGGCATTCACTTATAATATTACTTTTTAATAATTAAATCCAATTTGTTATTATATCTTAAATACATTCATTAGAACTATATATTTATATAAATGATAAAAGTAACGTTTTTTTTTGTGTGTTTATTGTCTAATTGGTGTTAATCTGTGATGGCAGAAATAATTCTAGAATAAAATACTATGAGACAAAATTATAAATAAATGTATAATTTATATTTGAGGACTTATCGTGATAGATCTATATGGAAAGCTGAAAATGTGGCTTTTTGGAGGGTCGGTTCGCTCAAGTAGTAGTTTTATCATTAAAATTTGTATTTATGTATATTGATTTAATAACTGTAAGGTACACGCCCTGTTATTGATTTTTACCTTATTATTTTACCATCTACCATATCAAAACAGTCTGTACACGTTTGTAGACTGTTAAACTGACGGTAAAACGTTTTTTTTTTCACAATATCTTAAAGGTATGTAAATGTGTAACAGTACATAAATATAATGACTAAAAATATATAAAGTTAATCAAACAGTATCAGTATCAACTGTTGCGTTACACATTTAGGTATACCTTCAAAAATAATTATAAAATTTATATATACTAGGGTGTCCCTTAGTTTGGACTTTTCGAATAGTTATTCTCCCAAGATCTCGAGCTGTTCTAATGGGTGAAAAAAAGGCCCTAAAAGTTTCACTGATCCAACTCAATATTTACCCGTATCCTTATGACCCTTTGGGCTTAAGTCTCAAGTAAAACCTACAATCGTTGAAAATTATAGTAATATATATTTATAGTTTGCCAACTATACATAGAAAAAAGCTTATGATGAGTTTGTAAACACTTACTACTATAACATAATACCAATAATAATGGCGTTAATAATAATTTAAATAGATTATAAATATGTATAGAATGACAAAAAAAAAAAAAGGCAGTACTGTGGAACAAGCATAATGTTATACTTAATGTTGAGCAATTATTTGTAGAATTCACGTTGGGTTCAAAAAAAAATCCATAATTGGTGCTGTATATATTCCTCCTAACTCCGCCTCTTGTACTTTTGATGCCCACGCTGAATCTGTTGAGTATGTTATTCGGAATTATCCTAGTCATACTTTTATTTGTTGTGGAGATTATAATTTGCCTGAAATAACCTGGAGTAATGAGATTTTCAGTGCTTTCAGCCAAAAATCTCAGGTAGATGTATTATATACTGATTTTAAAAAGGCCTTCGACTTAGTAAATCATGGTATACTAATTAAAGTACTTAGAAAATCTGGATTCGGTGAACCACTCTTAACCTGGTTCACTATTCTTATCTCAGCAATAGACATAATATATGGGTCAAACTATTTGGAGTTGAGTCAAATTTATCCTTGACTTCGTCTGGGATTCCTCAAGGTGGATATTTATCTCCCATTTTGTTCTCTTTACTTGTCAACGGTATTATTCATAATTTAGCTAACTGTAAATTACTATGTTATGCTGACGATATGAAGCTATATTTATACGCATCGGTTCCCCGAATGACTGTGTTAAGTTACAAAGTGATTTTGATCGCTTTATTTACTTGGTTTCAATCCTTAGGAATGACCCTTAATCTTGATAAGTGCCATGTAATGACCTATAGCAGATCTTAAACTCCGATTATGTATACTTGCAAATAATAAATATACACTAGGTACATATTTTCGTTTGGTCTTAAATTTTAGACGCTTATAACTTCAATAATAATTATTCAATACCACTTGTCGACCGGTCAACATGTTTAGTAAATTTTTCTCAATTTAAAATGTTAATAAATTAATGCGTATACGTTACCATTCAATTTTTTAAAAGTCGATAGTACTCTATCAAAACGATACGAATTTCAATATTGTTGTTATTTTTAAAGAAAACCAGTGTCATGCGTTGAATGGATCACCCTGCACTATGAAATAATTGAAAGTGTATAATTTCATGGCTATCATTTTAAATTATATAAATTATTTGTACATTTTTAGCTTCGATACGGAGCTGAGAAGGTATTGTTTTTACAATGATGTGTTTTAATTTTTTTTTTTTTTTGTGTCTGGACCCACGATATCCCGTGAACCGCTGAACCGATTTCTTAGTGTAGCAACTCTATGGATCAGAAATCATACCTGAAATATACTACATCAGGCCAAAAATTAAAAAAAGTCAACCCTTCCCTATCAAAATCGAGAAAAACTCCTAAAAAATTTACAAACTTTTCAATTTAAAATTACGATGCACTATAACTTTTTAAAAAATAGTAAAAAATGTTCAAAATTTATATGAATTGTTCTTCAAACATAGTACTATCGATAAACATTAACAAGCCAAAAAAATATCATAAACCCATTTCCCTTAGAAGGGATAGAAATTTTTTCTTTATTTCACCTTTTCAAGCAAAGTTTTATAGATTTAGATCTGAAAATTAGACCAAAGGTAGATCTAAAACGGATCTATAACATATACAATTTTCTCAAAAATGTGTAATCAAATTTTTTTTTTATTAAGGAAAAAACCCCAAAAATAGGGTAAATTTGGCCGTAGTCAGTTTCTAGGTTGCTATGTGTGTGTGAATCAACAAGCAATGAAAATATTTTCATTATATTGTTTATTACGATACACGGATAACTATGACAGTACATTTTTATAGACAGACGATCAACCCTTATCGTGTCCACCCTGCACAAGACTAAATATTACATTTTAAGTACATTATTGCTGGTCCCACGATGTCTTCTAAACCACTATAACTATGAATGTGTTGAAACTTTCGCGGATTGAAATATCACATAACAATAACTAGTTTGAACATACTATCCACAGATTCGCATCGAAGCGTTTATTGAAAAGTGATTTTATCACTTTCAGTTGTAATAAAATCTGTAGACTTGTGACCTCTCCGTCCCCACTATGCCCCGACCCCACTGTACTGGCTTTTTTTGAATTTTGAGTTGTAAAAATATTTTTTTTACAATGCCACGGTAGTATGTAGGACGTACCTAGGTAATTCAACCTAATAACAATAAGCCTAGACGTACTTGTATTCCGAGTGGATGATAAAAAAAAGTTTTACAAATAAAAAAGTGTCTGCATTTAACCGATTTTAGGTGTTGAAATATACTTTTTTTTTTTTTTCATTTTGGATTGTTACAAATACTTTTTTTTTTTTTACAGCACAAAGAAAACATGTAGCAGTTAAGTAATTATAATCCAACAACAATAAGTCTAGAAGATACGTATGATCCACGTGGTCGATAAAAGAATTTCAATCGTTTCACAACATATCGAGTGTCTCCATATTAGAACCGATTTGCTGACTGCTGGCATAACTGTTTTATTTCCTACTCAATGGCACATGCATAATAATATCTACGTCATTTTTTTTTTGTTCATTGTAGTGGTTTGTAATCATTAAATCGTTATAAGTACCACTTGGTTGTTAAGTCGGAGATTAGATGTAGTTCAGGTGTGTAACAACGACCTCTTAATATATAACCGTTAAATTTGTTTCTTATTAAGAGACCGAACAACTGATGTACAAAACAGTTATACGTTACATATACCTAGTGCTCAACGCAGGTCTCACACTATAGCTGTATACCCTCCAAACGAAATGTTTGATTTTTACAATAAAATGTCCATTCGTTTAATTTCATTACTGTGTTTGATATTTAGTTTTACCGAAGCAGCTGTCCAGGACAACAGAGACAAAATAAAAGGTTAGTGGTGGTTATACTTACTCCAATATTTTAATGTACACGGTTTGTGCACAGTTAAGTAAGTTTGTGATGTGATGTTTTCTAGAAAACGGTTAAAAAACAAATTAAATAGTTATTTATAAAGAAAAAAAAGAAGTGTAATTTTCATGTTTTTTACACAAACGTTTACAACATAACATTGTGTACATTTAAACAAGTCAAACCGTTTAATTGTTTCACTGGGTATTTCTATTTACTAGCATCGTTGGACGTTGTAAATAATTATTTTTTTAAACATTTTTTGAATTAAATGAATGCAAATAAAAAACATGATACTAAATATTTAGGTATATTTACAAAAAAAAAAAGACAATATTAAGTAGTGTATGTACACTTACAGGCAGACAGTTTAATCCCACGTAGGATATCGAAATAACGGTTATTAAATTTCTCACGGTTGTTTCATACACCAGCTAATGCCCGGACACTGAACCATTCTTTCCCCCTTCTTTAAAAATATATAATAAAACTGTATTACATATTATTATATCCACAGGCGACACGTTTTCTCTCTCTATATATATATATGGCAGTTTACTTCTGGTTTCAACAATTTTGCAAGCCGACTATGGCTGAATAAATTTGGCATATTATTATTATTTCAATAAAATTCAAAATATTTAGTAAAATCTTTTCAAAAATCCGTTTTTTTTTAATATTCCAGCAACCGGTTTGAAGTAGACTAACTCTAATAACGTTAAAAGAAATTATTCAAAATCGTTTGACATATTTTATTCCATAAACAGAACATAAGCACGGGATAAACCAAAATAAATAAATTCTGTGATGTAATCGTATCAATTGTAATGATATTTTTTGCAAAACTGGTAGTATTATTAGAGATAGCCTTCTATCCATGTAGTTTTTTTTTTTATTAAGATTTGTACTTAAAAAAAAAAAAATCAAGTGTTCCCAATAAGTAGTTTATGTGTTGGTAGTTTTATTTTAATATTGTTTACACCAGCTTACAGCAAACTGTACCTTCGGGTGTTCCTTAAAAAATTAAAAACAAATGATGCATTTATTATTTTTAAACTGAAAAATTACTATTTACGGTTTACTTTGGGCAGGTGCCTATACATTATTAATACAACTTGTAATTTACAGGTAATGTAGGTAATATTGTACCTATGTTTCTATCAAAGTCATAAAATAATCAAATTTTCTTGTATTGTTAGGTGTACAATAGTCAATAAGGACAACTGCAACTTGAATGTCTTGAATGATATTTTATTAGAAGATTTGTGGTGGCTGAGAGTTGAGACGTTTTAAGTTACATAAAGTCGTTGAGTTGTATTATTATTTTTATTGCGTATACTTATTTTAAAAATGTATGTATTTCTGGGATTATAGGGGACTAGGTCCAAATAACAAATCCGGCCCTGAACCAACAAAACATCATATTATAATGGTTATGTATTATTGTTATTAATGAGTAATGACTTTCGACAAATAATCTTATACATTTTATTTATATCGCCTTTATTAAGATTTAATAAAGGCGATTTATACTTTTGACTCGGAGAATTTAACTTCATTCTATTACATATAAATAAATAGTAAATACATATTTAAATATATTTTATTAATAACAATGTCGTGAAAAATAAATGTGAGAATCAACAGTACTATAAATTTAAAACAATTAGATGTTTGTCACTCTAATTAAATCATAAATGTACATCTTTGATTAAGCTGAATAATTGATAATATTTAAAATAATAATAACGAAGTATAAATAAGTACCTATTTATTCAATTTTTCATGGACTTTACACTATATTATTAGGACATAACTGTTGTTGGACGTAGGACAAATCATACATACTATGTAGGATACAAGGTAGGGTTGCCAACCGTCCTGCCCAATGAAGAAGGACGGTTGGCAACCCTGCGTCTTGTAGGTTGGTTTTGTATTATTCTTTTTTTACCTTTCGTGCGCAGATTGTTCACTGTCGGTACCGGACAAAGATGTCAAGCTCATGCCTATCGCGTTTGTGCCGAATGGCCGAAAATACCACATCATTTACCCGGACGACAAGGGTGCGCTGAACGTTCGGTACGGCCACAATTTCAAGTTGGCGTGCGTGGGCAACAATACGTTCGCCGCGGTTGCGCCGACCTACACGGAAATCTTGGTGACTTGCGCCGGAGGCAATAATGTGACTTACCGAGGTCAAAGGTACAGGTACGGCCAGTTCAAATGCCAGCAGACCCCCAAGTCCGTGTTGAAGCTGACCGGCGACAAGTGCCAGACCAACCATTCGCTGGTCACGGTGGGCTTCCAGACCAAGTGGAGACATTTGACCATGCTGAAGATATGCTTCGACACGACCGCCAAGAACAGTTTGTACACTTGGTACGCGGCCAGGTCGCCGTACCACGACTATCATCAGTACATGAAATCCAAGCCTTCGTTCGTCAACTCCAGGGAACTCTACGGCACCATGAACGTGAACAAATTTTACACATTAAAAGAACAAGTACGTGATCAGCGGAGTATATTATTATTATTACTAACGTTGCGCAGGGTAATATTTGTCTTAAAGCGATCCACTCAATATATCTCATAGAGGGTTTAATTGGTAATTCAGTTTTAACGTGTATACGTTATTGGGCTGGATACAATAATTTCAAAATGTCGCCATTTTCTCGTTACAATATTCAAACATATTTTAAAAATATTTAGAGATAAGAGATTAGAATATGTGATAAGAGATAAGAGACAAATGATAAGTGATAAGAGATAACATATCCATGATTCAATGTTTTCCCGTGGAACGGAGAAAATGGCTAGATTTTTTTCTCTCAACTTTTCACAGACTTTTATATTTTTAACCCTCTCCCGAATTAATTATTTTTATGTATTTCACTAACTTTTTTAATTAAAAATAATTTACTAACAATTTTGACCTATAACCAGTTCTGGATAATTGTTTTTGAACGTATTGAAGCTTATTGAATTGTGAGATTTGCGGTTGAGTAATGACCGCGGATAAAAATAATACTGCACTCCAACATTAAGAGTTTTGAAGAAAAAATGAGATTACTTGTATTAACTACTAGAACTACTTAAATACTTGAAAAAATTAAATTACTAATTAAACCCTAAAAATCACTCTGTATAAAACTAGCTGAAGTTATAAATGTATTTTTATGTCAAATGTGTTGAGTGTATTATATTGAGTGAGAATACCGGATTTACCTAAGTCTCGGCTCTAAAAAATATCGTTGGGAGTGTGATATTTTTATCTATCCATCGGTATTACTATACATCAGTTTTACAATTAGGTACAAAAATTATAACCATAGAACACAAAATGTCGTTTTTATAATATATTTGTTGTTCAATGAACTTTATATACATTCTATTTATTTCAGTTCCGACGTTGAGCTGAGAAGGTATGTGTATAGTTAATATTATTAGTTTGTCTGTTTCTTTTATAATGATGATCAAATATTCGGATTTTTTTTTTTTTGGGTTGCCGTATACTGAAAACATGAACTCAATATTTTGGCTAAAATAAATGTTGAATTTGAAATTATTGATCTATATGTAAACAGAAAAATTATTTTTTTTACATTTCTAAATTAATAATATACAAACCATTAGTTTGTGCAATTTTTTTCTCTTTCATAAATAGTTTCCTTTAGGGGGTTTCCTTAAAAAACTCTTAATTTTAGAATCGGTTTATATTATAGTAATTAAATAAGTACAAAAAAAAAACATACTAAAAGTGAATAACACATACTTAACTTGAAATAGTACTAATGCAATAGTATAATAATTGTGATGAAGAAAACAAACCTTGTTTAAATATAATATTTTATACTTATATTATTTAATCAGACAAATACAATCCAATAAATATGGTTTATTTGATTAGGAACAAGTAGAACAGAACAATGTACGAAATAAATAAATACTCAATTTTGGGAAGGTAAATATATTCTAAATACACATATAACAATCCATATTTCAGAAATCATTGATAAAAAGTGCATTAACAGGGTGTTTACAATTTTACATTGCAATAATTTGTATGAAATAATTGTTATAGCTAAATATTTTTTTATTATATTGATATTTATGATCAAAATGATTTATTATTGTTCAATTTTGAAACACTAATTAAAAAAAAAAAAATTTAAAAACTAAATACCTAGCAACATTTATATATATATATATATTAATTTTTTTTTACCTACTAAAAGCGAAATTATTTAATCAGTGTTTGGTCGATAACAGTTTTCAATAAATACTTATCGAGATAAAATATAAATCCTTATTGAGTTTAAGTAGGCTAAGTGTGTGCACTATAGTAGGAATTATTATTATTATCTCCACGTACTTCAATCTTCGCCTATAACTTTCAACACTTATGTCTCAACAGGTATAAGTGTATTATCAAATGCAATTTTTATAATTACACTAGTTTGGCTATTATGGCGTCTTCAGGTTAGAGTATTAATAAAATGTTATAAATAAAACTCATGTACAAAATATTAGTTTTTTTTTTTTAACAGGCGTTTAATTTATACAAGTAATTTAATTTATGTATGTAATCCGTAGATGCCTGATGGCGAATTTTTTTATTAAACACTTTTTTTTTTATACATTTTCTATAGAAAAAAACCGTTGCCAAAATTTTGGGATCAGAAGAACAGATGGAGAAATATTATACCGATAGCGAACACTCATTGTCACGAGGTCATTTCGCAGCCAGGGCTGATTTCGCTTTGTACGTCGAACAATATGCCACGTGAGTACTTTATACAACGTGTAGACTATTATTTAAAATTAATACTTTACTCGGACATTTGATATTTGCTTAAAGAACAATCTTAAACTGGGGTACACACACCGTCTTTTCTAGCTTCTTCAATTCCAGTCAAGTTTTCTGGGCTTACCTACTCTTCTTTAACATATTTCATTTTTGGGTGAACATTAAAGTGTACCAAAAAAATGTTTTTGTTCTTCTCTTAACATTATGTTCCTTGGGGGTAAAATAATATTTCCCTATTTCTTCAGATTTTTAAAATTATTTTTAGAGGTTGCGAGCATCAGTTTTCCAAAAAAATTTTTTTTTTAGTTTTTAATTTTTTTAAGGTACAAATATCAATTTTAAACAAATGTAGCTTGTATACAAAATCATCATTAGAAAAAGAGGAATGAACCAGTAATTTTTTTTTTTTTACAAAAAAAACTACTATCCAATTAATTTAGGCACTGGAATGTAAAATTTGCGAAAACATTGATATATATAACCTTAATAGTACCTTAAAATTTTATTTTTAGGAAAATAAAATATCTTTAACTTATTCCTCATTTAGTTGCGAAGAATTCCGAAAAATAATAAATTAAAAAAAAAAAAACAAGTTTTGAATATTATATAATTTTTTTTATTATTATTATTATTACCCTCGGCAGCAAAGGTCATTATAAATATAATATATATTATCACATTATATTATAATATTTAATAGCTGACCGCTATGCAATCATAATGCCAAAATAGTGTATTATGAAATCTTATTTTTTTTCCTGATCTATTGTTAGAATAATGTGTTATGTTTTGTGCATACAGTTTATGTATTTCTATATAAAGATTTTTTTTTATTTTATAAAATAATATTGTTTTTTTGTTAATTACTTGTAAAAACTATGAACTAAAAAAAAAAATAATTGTTAAGTAACAGTATTCAAAACTTGTTGTTTGTTTTTTAGCTTCGATGCAAAGCGAAAAGGTATTTTTAAATTTATTTTTTCTGATCTATTGTTAGAATAATGTGTTATGTAAGTATATCGGAATTCTTCGCAACTAAATGAGGAATAAGTAAAAAATATTTTGTACCCCTAAAAATAATATTTTAGGGTACTATTAAGGGTATATATATCAATGTTTTCGCAAATTTTACATTCTAAGGCCTAAATTATTTGGATAGTAGTTTTTTTTGTAAAAAAAAAAAATACTGGTTTTTTTCCTCTTTTACTAATGATGATTTTGTAAACAAGCAACATTTGTTTAAAATTGATATTTATACCTTAAAAAAATTATAAACTAAAAAAAAAATGTTTTTTGGAAAACTGATGCTCGCAACCTCTAAAAATAATTTTAAAAATCTGAAAAAATAGGGAAATATTATTTTACTCCAAGGAACATAATGTCAAGAGAAGAACAAAAAAAACAAAAAAATTGTTAGTTTGGTACACCCTAGGAACATGTTTAGATGAAAAAAAAAGTATGGAAAGTGATCTCCTAGAAAATGTCCTGGGACCCAAAAAAACTGATCTGTTTTGTCAGGGATAAAAAACATCCCCATCCCTTTACAACAGCTTGCGCACGCGTCCGCAACCACGGGAGACATTTTATCTCTTATCTCTTATCACTCTAATCTCTTATCTTATCATATAAATAATCAGAAATGTTCGTTGGGTAAAAAACCGTCGACTTTTCCTTGTTGTGTGCCAAAGTAAAGACACGAAAATGTCACGAAACCTTATGGCCAATCATTTGTGACGTATTACGGACGATTTTGCAGTTATTACTACGCGAACGTGGCCCCACAATGGCAGGTATTCAACGGCAAACTGTGGTCCCAGCTGGAGAACCATACCAGACTGAAGTTGTCCAACGACAGTTCCCGGTACGTGATTGTCACGGGCACTTATGGCGTTTGCACGCTGGAAGACGTCGACGGCGAGCAGCAGCCCATTCACCTGGATCCACCCTACAGGTTACCAGTGCCTCTGTACTACTGGAAGCTGGTCTACAACGTGGACGACGACGATGGCACAGTGTACTTGGGGCTGAACAACCCTTTCATGAACATCACTGACGACGTGTACATTTGCCCCAACACGTGTCCCGATGGCTACGAGGGCAACGACGCTAACGACGGGCTGGTGTATTGTTGCAGCAAAGAAGAATTTGAAAAAGTGTACGGAGAATTGGATAAGACGTTGTTCGAAAAGTAGTTTTGATTTTAACAACTACGTGATTTGAAACCACCACCGCCACTGTCAATTGAGTGCCATCGTATGTAGTGCACAGTATAACACATAATATAGTAATCACTAAATCACTTGCGACCCGATGCATTGTTTGAATGTCGATAAAAAATATGGCATTAAGCTCAAATATCCCTCGGGTATCAAAAGAAACACATTGTAAGTTTTGTGGTACTAACCGCTATATAAAAAAAAAAGTCCCTATTCACACCACTCTAATTTTTCTAGCGAATCAAATTACCAAACCTTTTACAATATAATTCCTCTTGTTGCAAGTACCATTATTTTACCTTTGTATATTTAATATAATTTATGTATATTTATAAATGTTTAAGTACCGTAGGCTAATAAAGGCTGTGTGCTTTTAAAAATAGAAATCTCGAGTTCTTTTTTGACAAATCCTTTTTTTCCGAGTCCAAATGGGCATTTTTGGCAGCAACGTTACAAGTTTCTTTAAACACTGCGAACATAATAGGATAGCTTATAATAATAATCTAATATAAACATGTAAAATGTCTTAAATATGCGATAAAATAATCATATTATAATAAACTCATTTTTTTTTCTGCTGGTCAAAATTCTATAAAATAAGTAAATTGGTAATCCTGAAAAAAGAAATGTAAGGATTGCTAATTTTGCGTATCTTATCAAAATGGTTTGCACTAATATAAATAGTATAATATATTTGTTATAGCAAACCGAGAAATAAGAAAGCATTTAATAATCTAAATTACTTTGGGTTTATTCGCTGTGAATCGAGGAACTGTCGAGTTAAAAAATGGAGTTAATAATATTATTACCTATAATTAACCAATTAGTAAATTGTGGCTAATAAGTGTAATAACTTTCTAAGAAAATGTTTTTCTAATTTATTTAGAACGTATTGTGTATAAGTCTTTCTAAATCTCAATTTGTACATCTCTCAAGTCTTTAGCAGTTACAGCAGTAACAAATTTGTTAACCAAATTTTTTGAAAAAGAAAAAAAAATAGAATTATTCTTTTGATACACATACTATTGATAATAATTACTAAAATGTAACACTAATAAGCCACCGATGACACAATATGTATTAAATTGTAAAATAGGAAACTACTGGAATTGAAATAGTAATATTTAAATTTGCATTAATATAAAATAAACTAGTCGGTACCTCAATACAAGACGTCAATTTTGGTCGGCTTGTTTAAACTACGGTAATTTTTTTTACTGCGGTAGTCTTTTGATATTTTATGTTAAACTACGATGATTAGGTATTAACTATTATTTGTGGTTTTTTTTTTTTTACCCATTTAATTTAATAATTAATTCAAAAACTTTTTCTTATATCTATATACCTTGTGTTTATACTAATTTTAGCAAATTATGCCGAACATTAAAAAATCAGCTAACAAAACTTTACTTTTTTTAAAATTGTATAAATTCAACATTGATATTAAAATAAACATTTTTTTTTTTATTATGTCAACTTGTTTGATAAATCGTCGTTTAACACATTAAGCCTCTTCGTGGAACGGATACTCTTTTAAATCTTTCGCCCTGAAAGAAAAAAAAGAAAAGTAATCAAATTACAACTCATTGTACCTTCTTTGTGTGTTTAATGTCCATACCGGTGCCCAATCTCGGGGTATAGCGTTAGGTTGGAATTGGGCAAATACATATAAAATACAAAAATAACTCACGAGATGAAAGGAAAATAACGAATATTCTTGTCCAAAAATTCTAGTTCTTTGATTTCGTCTTCACTCAACTCGAAATCCCATACGTCCATGTTAAGTTTCTGCCTTTCCGGATTTGCCGACTTTGGAATGACTAAAAGGCCTCTTTGAAGCTGTAATGTGGGTACAATTTACACATTAAACAATGGTTCAAAAATATTACCACCATCATTGCTCACTTGGAATTTAATTAATATCTGAGCCGCCGTTTTCTTGTGGTTTTCTGCGATTTTTTTCACAACAGGTTCTTCGAGCACAGCCAGTTCGTCCTGATCTGCCCAAGACCTTTTAGGCGATCCCAACGGCCCGTAAGCGGTCAGGCGTATGTCGTTCTTGTCACAAAATTCTTTGAGTTTTTTTTGCGTTAAATAAGGGTGGCTTTCAACCTAGCGTCAACGTGTTGTATCTTGTTAAATAATTGTCGAAAATACACAAATTACGTCTTCAATACATATTTCGATATCTATGTTCGACTAGATTCGTCTTCTCTCGTCAAACAGAGTATACAGGATTGTGTGTAAAAGTATATTTACCTGGTTCACCACAGGCTTGATGGTCGCTACTTCTAAAATTGCTTTTACTTGTCTAATATTGAAGTTTGACAATCCAATGGATTTTGTAAGTCCAGCTTTAACACACCCTTCCATTGCTTTCCACGTTTCCGTAATGGGAATATCAATTCCTACAAGATTATCATCACTGTCTTTCTGTAACACGGAAATAAAAAAATTACAATAGTTACTACCTGATGTTTCTTTAAACACCTTACACTAGTAATCTTTTAAAACCATTGTAATTTTGTGTATTGTTATTTTTGAAAACATTTTTGTCTATGCTATATTACAATACAATATGTTTTCTAGAGCTCTATCAACATATATTATATTTAATTGAATTTTTAAATTAAAAACAATATACTGAAAAAGTTGACTGGTCGATAACGAGTTTTGAATAATCGGTTTGCAAGTTATTAATGTTTAAAATTTAGAACGGGATAGGAGAATAAGAATCACTCTAATGGTTATACATAAATGTACATACTTACAATTTGGGAAAATGGCCAATGAATAAGATACAAATCGACGTGGTCTAAGCCCAAATCTTTTAAAGTATCTTTCAAAGTAGTTTGAACTAATTCGGGTTCGTGTTTGTCGTTCCACAGCTAAACATACAAGGTAAGAAATATTACTATTAAAAAGATTATACATTTTAAACAATCCAAGTTATGGTGAAAAAACTTATCAAGACGGATTAAGACAAGTTTCAGTGTAATAGAATAAAACTGGTGCAGTGTTTTTGTAAATACAATTGATTACGACAATATTAGATAGTGTTTTAGTGTTGCGGCAAATATTTTAATTCAGATAATATATATATATATATATTATTTCAAATTCTTGACCAACCTTACTAGTTATATACATATCGTCTCTCGTAATGGCTCCTTCTTTGATTTTATCTTTAATAGCTCTTCCGACTGCCTTTTCATTGTTGTAGATATAAGCACCGTCGATGTGACGATACCCTATGTCTATTGCACTTTTAACAGCTTCGTAAACCGCTTGTTGGCCCGACTCGTCAACAGTGGCAGTGGCCTAAACGACACGGCAGAGTTAATAAATAACACACTCTCTCTCGAAGATGCTAAGCGCAATACCTGCCACGTTCCCAGGCCCAACGAAGGGTACACATGACCGTTATTGAATTTCACCATTTTTACCAATTTAGACACAGACATGGTGGACGCGGCTGCGGTGAATGAAAAAAAACGTGCAATATAAATAATACGGACGGTTACAGAGCACAACCGATACTGAAAATACAGACAAATATAATATTTGGATAATACCTACGATGGGTTATGTAATAACATATTCTTAAATAACAACAAAAACTCCAGAATTTAATCGCACTATTAAAATAATAACACTTGATGCCGGGTTATCTAATGCGTTGACAGTCAAGTGTCAACTGATAACACATAACTGATAAGCGTAGACCTTATAAAAGGTATAGCGGGTATAAGGTAATGCCGAAAGGGCTGATAAGTGATAACGAATTCGTGCAGGTAAATTATTATATGTTTTGGAATCTTTAGACAATAGTACTTTGGTAATAATGGAAATATGAAGGATTAAATAAAATAATATGTTATACTGTTCTTGGTACTTCTTGTACAAGTCCTACAAAAAAAAAAAATCACTAATGTTTAATTCATTCAAATCGAATAGACCAACCGTTAAAGTAAAATATAATTGTCAAATTCACACTTGTTTTTCGATACTTTATTGTACTTTTGTTGTTAATTTCAGACGAATTAAAAAAACGGTAAATATATCTATACTCTAATTCCTCGTGGCATTGAAAATCGAATGAAATTTGTTTAAAAAGGATTTCCGAGTTGCAATTTATTGTCATAGGCGTTCTGTGAATATATTTGTTTTAATGTGTCTACAGTCACACAGTTCGACAACATCAGTGGTATTTATCATTAGTAAGAAATAACTAAAAGTGTAATTGGATCAATTTTATACATAACGATAATAAATAAGTTATCCGTATAACACCATAATAATACTCGTTATAATAATTATTCTTGAAATAATAATAGAAATATCTGGTATGTCGATAAGTTAAAACATTTGCTTCCAACATTTAAAACTTAAAACATTTTAAAATTTAACTTTTATTCATTTTTATATTTTTTCCACCACTTAATAAGTAAAAAAAGTAATCTTTTATTTTTATTTATATCTCCTATTAGAGGTGCCCGTTATAGTAAGCTATTTAATTCAACTGAATATTTAAAATGTTATTAAAAGGATAAAAAATCTACCATTTTCTCAAGACTTGCGGCTGCCTTAACGTTCATAGTGAGAATACACATCCAAATATTGTTGTCATTGTGTTCAGTAGTCAGTCGATGAAGCAGTTTTATTTTAGCAGCAACTTTACATATTTTGAATCGACCAGAAACCAACAAAATTGAGACTAATCGAAATTTGTCCAATTATTTTTGCTTTATTATTTCAAGAGGTTTATTATAAGAGGTTCAGTTAGTTGTCGTTATAATATTATCATTGGGCTGAAGAGAATAAATAACATCGATAAAGATAATAAGCTCGTAGTGAATCATTTTAAAATGACACACATGCCAAAACTATTATTTCTAATTGAATTTTGTAATTATAAATTAAATACTTAGTGATGGATCATTAAACATTATTTTCAATAACAACACATCACGTTTTTCTTTGAACAATAATTATTTGCGTCATAACCCCGTTATTATCTAACGAGGCTCATGCGGATTACACCTAGTCATATTATCATGATACGTTCATCGCGATTGGCAAAGTTTAACGTCGGACAAAAAATAAAAATAAAATCAATAAAATTGACACGACGATAGTATTAGTTTATTAATACTCAAACATTTTTTTTTAGATTACCTAATCATAATCGTACGAATAGGTCACCACACAAAAGGGTCATTATTTCTGATACGTGTAATCAAATAGTAGATAAAAAAATATTTTATAAATTAAATGATGTATTTAAAAAATAACTATTAATTAGATTACAATATAAACTTTGTAAAGCACCTTAAAATTAATGAATGTGAATTGATTGACACTGGTATGCGTTTGTTGCTTGCGTGGAGAAGTTTCTTAAAATTCATCGTTAAACGGATAATCCTTAAAATGTTTGTTCCTAAAAAAAAAAAAAAAAATCATCATTGCTCAATACTTTTAAATGTGTTATCAAGGTGGTCCCAATGCATCTAAGCTAAAATAAAATCGAATGACAGTTTTTTTTAAAAATATTCATACCAGTTCAGATGACAAACACGACCGTTGCAATCAAACGAATCAATCAAGTCTATGTCGGCTTGGGCCAATTCAAAATCCCAAATGTCAAAGTTGGATTCAATACGACTCTTGGTCACAGATTTTGGAATGACGATAATGCCTCTTTGTATTTGATATTTGATCAAAACTTGAGCGGGAGTCTTCTTATATTTGTCGGCGATGGCTGCGATTTTGGGGTCTTCCAGTAATAAAGGATCGTCGGGTTTTGCCCAAGGTCTGTCTGGCGATCCAAGAGGACTATATGCAGTCAGAACAATGCCGTGTTGTTCACAAAATTCCTTTAATTTCTTTTGATTCAAATACGGATGACATTCGACCTACGAATAAAATAAAACGGTATTATCGTTTTGTAATCATTTCAACCGAGTTTTTTCCCACACAATTAAAGCTATATCATATTTATTAAAAAGGTATAACGTAATATTACTTGATTTGTCACTGGCTTTATTTTGGCCACTTTCAATATGTCTTCTATTTGCTTTTTATTGAAATTTGATACACCAATAGACTTGACCAGACCTTTCTCTACAAGCTTTTCCAATCCTTTCCATGTTTCAACGTAAGAACCTTCTCCTTCGATCGTCACATCTTTTTCATCTTTGGGAAACAGATCTCCTTGTAATGTTCCTTCCTTAACAATAAAACGGACACAAATTTAATGAAAACCTACAAAACAAATCACTTTAGAAACATATATTTATAAAACATACTTTAAATGCCATCGGCCAATGGATTAAATACAAGTCCAAATAACTGATTTGCAAGTCGGAAAGGGTTTGTTTCAAAACTGCTTCGACATAGTCTGGTTGATGAAAAGTATTCCATAACTAAACAAATGAAAAGTTTAATTAAGGTCAGGTTATAAATTCATAGAACAGAGCCAGAGTATTGCGGCGACGTGGCATGGTCGAGAAGGAGAGATATAGAAGTATTTAGGTATTATTACACATAAAAATAGTGAGGTTATATGTTTACTTTGCTAGTGATGTAAAGATCTTCACGTTTCACAACTCCTTCGGCGAATTTCTGCTGTAAGGCATTTCCAATTTCTTTTTCATTGCCATATACTAAAGCACAATCGATATGCCTGTATCCTGCGTCTATTGCGGCCATGACACCATTTTCAACTTCGCCCGGTTTGGACTAAATAAAACATTAATACAACAGAATTTAAAAGTATATTCTCTATATTATACACATTTTTTAAAATAATTTAAATATTAGTCTTAATAAACATTTAATAATCGAAAACGCCAAAGTATATTTGTATAATGTACATATTAAGTAGTTATCAGTAAAATCTATACATGTATATGTGTTTCTTTTTTTTTTGACGACAAATAGAATTTGTTTTATATGAAATTATTTTTCGTGAGAATTCAATTCTTTAAAATATATTACACTACGTCAAACCGTAGCCAATATATTTTGTCCAACTAATTATTTCAATTGCCTATAAAACCGAAATAGCTAAAATGTAAAAAAAAAAAAACAACCCAAACCAATAAGATTACATAACATTATAACCATAAAACCTAAACCCAATTCGAGTTCAAAGCGCCTATTGTTAAATTAACATCATTTGCAAACTGTCTTCATAAATTATAGTTACCATCTCAATTATAGCTATGGGGAGGTGGCGTAAACCCAAACCTCGGATAATCCGAACGGGCTTGAGAATTATCGCATCGCTATGTTTAGACATATTTTTCCGTAGACCCGCACAATAATTTGACAGAGCTTTTGATCAGCATAATATAGGGAGAAAAAAAAACTCAATATTTCAAATGAATATGTGTGTTGTCATAGGTAATGCGAACAAATCGGTAATCCAATCACCCCCGTTCGGATTAACGAGACCCTTCTGAATGTACATTTTGTATGAGAGAAAAATAATCAATTAACATGAAAAAATACAGTTTACTTTAATCAAACGGACACGTCATACTTTTTATTTCACAGGTAGTTGTATTGAAATAATGTGCAATAATTACCTTCCACGTTCCGTACCCCAAGATTGGGTATTTAACGCCATTGTTTAACGTGACGAATTGATTTTTCGATGCCATTTCTACTAGCAGTTTGATTGATTTTAGTTTTGATCAAAGACAGATCCAGCAAGTGAAGTTTATTAAGCAGCAGCAGAAAACCAGCTTTGTGAACTGCACAAACGCAATACTGTGAACGAGGTGAAGACCGGGTAAATAATATTATAATTGTTCACTAGATTATTCGTTTTGTGTAGAGAAAACCATGAAAATATTCAGATAAAAATATAATATGATATTTAATCGCATACACGCCGGCCGGTCGGTAATTTTTTTAGAAAAATATAATAATATAATATATGATAGGCGTTACCTAACATAACCGTATGTGGTGGGAAACCAAGGTCCTTTGGGTTATTATCAATACATCTTGGTGGGGAACAAGACAAGCATATTATACTATATTAATATTTAGGTTATAAGTTGTTACTTGTTTCTTATAATTTGTTACAACAGCTGCCGTAAAACACTATATACGAAACACCTATACATATAATATTATTCGTAAACAACCAAAAAAATATTCCTTATCAAAAGACGGCTGCGGTTTTTTTTTGGTAAGATTATTAAAAATATAGACTAAAGTATTTGTATGATATTATTGTATTATTTGTTGTATCTCTATACGATGTATTGTTATCGTTTATGTTGTATAAAAAAACAATAACTGTACTTAAAAACCCGAGTCCAGGTTAATTAGATAAATCATATTGACCTTGAACTCTACCGAGCGTTTAGTAGACTAACAGCGAATGGATGTAAACCATTTTTTTTTTTTTTAAAACCGACTTGAAAAAAAAACACAAAGAGTACCATAAAAGTAAAATAAAAAGCGAAAAATAACTGTGTTAACAATTTAATATTAATTGTTTTATAATTTATTTTGAAATCGGTACCAAGTAAAACATAAAGAGTCGGTTAAAAAAACGATATACCTTGCTATGTGTAAGGTTTATCTGTGTTAATTTTTTTCCAAATTAGTTCATAACAAAAAAAAAAGTGTTCTAATTTGTTATTATAGTAAGGTATATAATTTTTATGTTTTACTTGGCGCGCCGACTTCAAAATTATAAAACAATTAATAATTACATAATAACCAATCATTTCTTAGTATTACATTAAGCGGAATAACAAGTACCTAAGTATTAAATCGTTGTATAAATCATTTATTTTTTGCTTTTTATTTTACTCGTGTTACTTATGTGTTTTTTTTAGCAGGTTTTTGTTAAAAAAAGGCAACATAATACTAACTGTTAATGTGAGTCACTTTCAATGTAAACAAAAAAGTGACGACTATTTTGTAAAAACTATTTAGTATTATGAAGGGTACAGGGAAAAACCAGGAAAGCCCCCTTTTTTTGCAAATCTAAAAAAAACATGTTAAAGTGATGCTAAAAAATGTTAATAAAATATTAAAAACTTTTTTAAAGAAGTGTTTAATTTTTGTTTATAATCGTGCTTAAAAATAAAGAACAGATTCATTTTGTATCAAAACGAATTTAATAACAACACAATTGTCATTTTTAAAAAGTGACTTTCCCGGTTTTTTTACTGTGTGATAACTGATAAGTGTCTTCCCCGTGTTAATTTTTATCAGTGTCCGGTCCGTCCTGATTGTACTTAATCCGCAAAACAAAATGCCGGACACTTATCAGTTCCAGCCTAGGTTTCCCTTCTGGTTATTCTGTGGTCATTACTTGGTTCGGTTATCAGTCTTATCACTTATCAACATTTTGCTGGCAGGGCTCGTTTTGTAGTTAACTTCATATTCATGAATATTATAATTTTGGTCTACGGGTAATTGGTAGACTTGTTTGACTTTGTTACATAACAAATGTCACATACTTAAATTGTGACACACACTTTAAGTTAAAAATAGCTCAGGGTATTTGTCTGTAAAACCTCGGGAACTAGCAAGGTCTGGTGTTCACATAAACATAATATTTCAGTTGACATTTGCAAATGCATATATTTGTACAAACGTTAAACAATTTATTTAATACTTTGTAAAAAATGGATGATTATTTGAAATATTGACGACAACTATGAATATTTAAATCAACCAATACAACAAGACGAAGCGCAAAAAGCATAGGTATAAGAAGGAATAGAATAGATCATATTATCAGTTTTCATTAAGATGATGCGTTTTGTAGAAAGTTAGATTTACCAAATTTTAATTTTTTTAATGCTCATAGTATTTATAAGAAAAAGAGTTTCGACCCCAAACAGAGATAACAGTAATAAATAATATTAGAAAATTATAGTCATAGGTGGTACTTATAAAAGCCATAAAAGGGGCTAAACATAATAAAAACAATTATTTTCTTATTTATACATTTGTTTAATTGTTAGAATAAAAACTATTGTACTACAAAAATTAAAAATTAAAGAGCTATAAGGAGCTTGAAAATATCCAGGCCATTTTGTATACATCTCAGATTTAGTTAAATTTAAATACATTATTTGTTTTAACTTAAATCAATAAACTACAATAAAAATAAAGTAGGTTAGGTTGAACTAATAGGTAAGTGATATGTTATAAAGATACACATATTATGTACTTTTTTCTATATAGTAACGATATAAGTATTTCCATTGTTACATTGTGTAGTGATTGATATTTGAATGGCTATGTTAATTAATACTCGTCAATGAAGGGGTAATCCTTGAAATGTTCAATCCTGTAATAAATAAAATAGCATTGTATAAAAAAAACCCTACGAATAGACATGAACATAAATTATTAGCAGGAAAAAAACTAGTGGGGGGAGGCGAAGGATTAATTGCAACTCCAATAAATTTGTTAGATGTCCTTCATGACCAGTGTGAAAATGTTAAAACCGTGTTAATTGATCATTATTTTTAATTCAAATGTCCATTGATTATTTCTAATGAAATGAGTAATGTTCTACCGCTGGCTAATTTATTTTGTCGATTCATTTGTACAGCTCCTGTGACTGTCTCTGGAAATGAAAGGTCTTTCAGCAAATTAGAACTTTTAAAAAAATTACTTAACGAGCAACTCAATGGGATTCAAGATTGAATAATTTAATGCTGAAAAGGATCTAGTAGATGAAATTAATTTAGAAGATTTTAACAAAACACTGGGCTATTTTGGACCCACGATATCTGTTATGAGAAGATAAGAAGCAAGGCAGTGATAGTTGTTATGAAGATGAACATATAGGGTAAGACAGGAAGAGGAAAACCGAAGAAAAGATGGATAACCGGAATGGAGAGTGATGCTAGGATAGCTGGGGTGATTGAACGATCAGATGTAGAAGATCTAGAGGCTCTATGGAGGCGTAGGACTTGGGTGGCCGACCCAATGTAGTTGGGAGTGTAAGGCGAAGAAGAACAGACCCACGATATCTTCCAAATCACTGACCCGATTTCTTCGTGTAGCAACTCTACAGGTCAGAAATCGTCCTTGAAATGTACTTTATTGAGTCGAAAGTTTAAAAAGTTCACCACTTCACCTTCAAAATCTAGAAAATCTACGCATATTAGGTATTGTCACTTACTCTTTCATTTGTATGTACCGACAGTTGCAGTCGAGTCCGTCGATTTGGTCCATGTCTTCTTGGTCGAGCTCGAAGTCCCACACGTAGAAGTTAGACTCTATGCGGTGTTTGTTCACCGACTTTGGGATGACCATTACTCCCCTTTGGATCTGGTATCTTATTAAAACGTGCGCTGCGCTTTTGCCATGTTTGCCGGCAATGTCTAAAATTGTCGGATTCTCCAACAGCGACGGGTCTTCGGGTTTTCTGCAGGGGTTGTCCGGTGATCCCAACGGGCTGTACGCAGTCAGGACGATGTCGTTTTCGTCGCAGAACTCTTTTAACTTGCTTTGGTTCAAGTACGGATGACACTCCACCTTGGTATCGAAAAAGCATTTAATAATGTCAATTGGGAGGTCGTGACATTAACATGACGCGTGTAACCTAGACAATAACAATGGAAGAACGAAGAAGACTTGAGGCGTTTGAAATGTGGTGTTATAGGAGAATGTTAAGGATGCAAGTTGGATGGACAGAGTAACCAATGGAGAAGTACTGGAAAGAATATCAGAAGGAAAATTACTATGGAAAAATATAGAAGACGAAACGAATGGATAGGCCATACAATGCGACACGAAGGATTGTTAAAACTGATTATAGAAGGAAAGAACCATAGGGGAAGACCAAGATTAGAATACATTCAACAAATAATAAACGACCAAGGATGTGACTGATATGTAGAAATGAAAAGGAAAGCAGATAAGAGAGAAGAATGGAATTGTATAAGCAAGGGCAACGAATTATTAAGATAGACGATTCTTTCAGTATGATAAAGATTTTGAACGATTTCTGATCCATAGGTTTTCTATGTGGTAAATCTGCTCAACGAAGATATTGTGGGTCCAAACACAAAAATTAAAACAAATCATTGTAAAATCAATTGCTTTGCAGCTACGCATCGAAGCTAAAAGCGTAACTAACTGGATTTTTGTTGGACTACAGTCTATAGTTACTGTTTTTATTTCAGCTCCTTTTTCTTAGACAAGACTTATCACCCAGTTGCTTACTTGAACATTGACCGGTTTCACCGTAGCTATGTTCAATATGTCTTCGATTTGTCTCTTGTTAAAGTTGGACACGCCGATCGACTTGACCAAACCGTTTTCAACTAGCTGCTCCATCGCTTGCCACGTTTCTATGTACGAACCCTCGCCCTCAATCGTAACCCCATCGTCGTCTTTCGGAATGAAGTCATCGTCCAATCCTCCTTCCTGAGTGAGTATGTAAAAAAAAAAAAAAATTTAGGAGTTTTTCCAGCAAAACCACGACATATAAGACCGTGCAAAGGACACTAGGAGCTCCAGTGAACAACAACGCAAGTTCTGCTTCCATTGAAAATTTACTATTTGTAATTAAATACTTTACAACCTATAGCCGTTTGAAGCCCCGCCATTCTTTTTGATACACCCTGTATGTTATAATAAGAGAACTTATGGAGTTGTCCACTAGGTCGCGCCGTTTTGCGCCGTTTGCCTCTGGTTTTATGTAATCTGTGCCCAATGATACACTGAACTTTAAACGCCATCGGCCAATGGACCAAGTACAAGTCCAAGTAGCTAATCTGTAAGTCGGTCAGAGTTTTGTTCAACACGGTTTCCACGATGTCGGGCTGATGAAAGATATTCCATAGCTGTAAAACGCAAGCAACCGATTGAAGCATTCTCGCGGTTTTCGGTGAAATAGTAACGTGGGTAAACTCGCTATTACTTTACTAGTGATGTACAGGTCTTGGCGGCTCACAACGCCTTCGTCGATTTTCTGATTTATAGCGTCTCCAATTTCCTTTTCGTTACCGTAGAACATGGCACAGTCCAAGTGTCTGTAACCCGTGTCTATGGCCACCTTAACCGCTTCCTCCACTTCTCCGGGTTTCGACTTAAGTAACATCTCATAATTAATCGTTTGCAATTTATTACTTTATTTAAAAAATATATAAAAGGGATTGAAAGCGGTTTGTTTTTTGACACGGTGGAAATTTATTAAAACCACTTCTTTATTAAATATTGTCTTATAAAACTCCTTAGGAACCGCCCGCTTTCAATGGCCTTAAATTAGACACTTGTCCTGCAAGAATTTGAGCCAAACAATTATTTTGGAACAATATATAATATTTTTACTAAAAACTAAAACAGCTGATGTATAAAGAAAAATTGAAGATTATTTTACTCATTTTTATCAGCATAAAATGTACTGTTCATTACACTATAATGTGCCTACCTAATTTACATTTTTATCATTTTAAAGCTACTTATTTATAAAAAAAAAAAAATCATTTTTTTTAACATGAGATTTGTTATTCAACCTTTTCCAGAGATGTTAAGTTTTTATCTTTTCTGAACAATTTTAAATTCTTGACGTGTACGTTTTTCCGTCTCCCACTTAGGGATAAAGTTCAAAATGTGTGAAAATATCAAAAACAATTGGAAAAATACTCTGTAAAATGACTCAGATTGTACTGTACATTTATCATTAATAATTAATAATAAATGATAAGATGGCAAACACTACATTTGTCGTTAACTGTCAGTTTTTGTTATGTTTGATTCTAATTTATATAGAAAAAGAAGATTGAATAGTTATAAATAAAATACCAATTACCAAATAACAGCCACATTGAGTTAGTTAGAAAAATGTATCTGCGATTTAACTGTATTGTAAAAAAATGGATGTAAGGAAATAGTACAAGACTTCTCTTGAACTAATATGCTTGTGAATTGTAATATATGAAACTGTATTGGGCTCAATGTTATTATGGCAGGTAATGGATAACATAAAATATATCCTGTAGTATTAGTATGATGTTTGTAACATTACATTTTAAGTACACAATAGAAAAATCTGAAAAAACTATCTATATTGATTGTGATATTTGTACAATGCACATTGTTAGGTCTGTTGTAGGACACCTACGACTCACAAGTAAAGTTATAACCACATCAAATGTAAATTTATAATTAGCAGGTCTATTACATTTGTAGTGTTAAAATATATCTGTATTTTATTAGACAAATAATATGTACACGAGTCAATAATAATTACTCTTATGGCATTTCAAACGTTTACCTTCCAAGTGCCAAATCCAAGGATTGGATATTGTTCTCCGTTGTTGAATGTTACAAATTGATTGTTTGATGCCATTCTTTAATTAATTTTTTTTTTTTTTTTAATAATGTAGCTTGAGTACAAGACGCTTCTTTCGACTTGCTTGTTTAGAAAGCGAATGAAAACAAAATGTGCGGAAACGCCTAAAGAATATCTCAAACGATATTCGTAATGAATCATAACTCTAAATTCAATGTCATATTTCAAACCAGAAATGTCGACAGTAAGGTTTTTTATTGTGTTCTTTGCTACACCAACAACATGTAGGCACATTAATCATTCTTATTGAAAATGGTTTACCTATTCAATAGGTTACTAGTGGAACATTAACAAAATACATCTATCAGAATAAAAGGTCGAAAACGTTAAAGTTTGTAAATCATGTTAAACAAACATCATACAGCCGAATGAACTAAAAATTAAAGTTATTTATTTATTTATTTTTTTTTAGAATATAAAATACCTATTCACCACGTTTAGTCTACTTATTAACGATGCTCGACAAAATTAATTTTGTATTGACAAAAACTAGACTTTCTCTGAACAAAAAAAAAAACAGTTAAGCTTTACAAAAAATTATGTGTACTTTCATTTAAAATTTAAATTTATGATTTCAAGGCACACTTATGTGTTTTTGTATTATTGTTATTATTATTATTATTATAATGAACTGGTCTATATCGAAATAAAGGTAGACAAAATGTAGTAAGTAGGTTTATTTTAGTTAAGTAGTAAAGGTATATATATTATATAGATTTTAGTTTTTAAATTGGGTTTTTTTTGTGTGTATGTAATATGTGCACCATGAAATGCATGTTTTTACATTCTCTTGTACTAAAGACTATATTGTGTAAATAATACAACTTGTAAATAAAATGGTTTTTTATTTGAGAATTAGTACTATTACACTTTGGCAATCGACATAAATTATAAAATTATTAATGTGGGTGTATAATTTAAACATTTTTTTACAGTTCATATTTTGTACAGAAAATAAACAATCCAACATTAAGCGTTGCATACAAAAGGCAAACGTTTAAGAAGTTTTAAGTTATACAAATAAAATAAGACGTATAGTGTTCTAAATTTGAATAGTTTGCTTGTTAAAATGGTAAGTCAACTTCTATTTATAATTATTACTATACCTATATAATAGCTACAAAAAAACGCAAACGACTGTTTGTAGTTATGTTATACAAAAAATTACTCTAATCCAATATGATAATGTACAAAATATATTAAATTATTATTAAATTATGACCGTTTACATGTACAATATGATAATAATTTACAGGCGACAATACAATTATTATAACATAATATTATTATTATGTATAATAGCATACTTACACGTCTAATAGTCTTGGTTACCATTCGTAAACATGATAAATAAATTATTATTACATATAAAATTACCGTACTAGCTTATTGTAAAATAAAAATTAAAAAAAATTAGGTAAATTTGGCTCGAGATAAAACGCCTACTTGTATTTACACCGTAATCAATTTACAAAGCTCACAAAAGGTTTAAATGGTGTCATTTCATATAACAATATTAAATACTACAATTAAATACACTATATGACCGTCATCATAATTTTAGTAATATCACTGATATCAATAATTGGCCCTGACACGTTGTTGGTGCCGTTTGTTTTATGCTCAGTGAATGTTGTCGTTGATCCAGTCTAAGTACCGGGTAACTCTTGTATAAACCCCCGGATAGCCCGGTTCACCGCATTTGTTACCAAAAGACACGATACCGATTTGAATCCATCTGCCGTCTTTTTTCAACATTAACGGACCACCGGAATCTCCCTAAAAAAAAAAAAAATTCAACATATTAACGCCTGTAAATCTAGTAAAAAATTCGCTCATTTTTAAACAAATTTTAAGACGTTAGATGGGAGTTAGAAGAAAGTCATATTTCCGATAGTGATAAGAAACAGCTGATTACGGTAAGGTTAGGTTGCTGATATCATACGGATGATTAGCGATGAGTGATAAGAGATTAGTGAAAAGATATATATGTGTTTATATAATTAACTGTAAACTAGATTGCTGATAGAGATAATTGAAGTTACCATTTTACGCCATCTTTGTGGGAACTAGAACCTTATCACATAAAATTATGTCCATAACAATTATAAGTTATGTTGATAACACTGATGTATATATATATATATATATATATACACACGAGTAACAAATAACCATCTCTAACTCCAACTACATCCCCATCCTTTTTCAACAGCTTGCGTACGGGTCCTCGACCACGGGAGACATTTTATTTCTAATCTTCTCTTATCTCTCTTATCTATAATCTTTTATCTCTTATCTTATCAGATAAATCATCAAAAATGTTCGTTAGGTAAATAACTGTCGATTTTTCCGGTTGTATGCCAAAGTAAAGACATAAAATGTCAAAATGGCCGACGTCGACTTCAATTATTATTATCACTAGTTAACACTCTAGTTTATTATATATATATATATATTTCTGTGGTGAAAATGGTCATTTGATAACAACTCTTGATAAGAGATTAATGATAAGGGACAGCTGATGATGGTCCCTGATAAGAGAAAGTTAATAAGAGATCAGTTAGGTTTAGGTTAGATTTGGATTAAATAGTTAAACTCTTTTTTTATAGATTTGATAAATGGCCGCCTACCTTTTCTTACCCTCGCTTACTCTTCTTCTCCTTCTCCTCTCTACCTTTAATCTATCATTAATAGGCAGCCGATAATGCTGATAATTAGAGATTAGCGATAAGACGGATTAAATCTGATTAAAGGGAACTGGCTCAAAAAAAAAAACCGGCAGTATTTTATTAATCTGTATTCAATTATCAGCGTCGATTGATATATGATAAAAATATTTATGAGGTCGGAAACAATTTATAGAATGTCTTGAAATCGATGTGAGGGGCATGTTTAGATTTTTTCAGAAAGATGCGTATCCTGTAAGAACGAAGTTTTGCAAAAAGGTACATTTATTCTAAATCTAAAAAAGATATTTGGCTGCTTTTGCTTTTGACGTCTTACTGTATCTTAGAGAGAGGTCCCTTCATGCCTATTTAAAAAAAAACATGGATGGTGGGGAGTGGGAATATCATGGAAAATGTCCTCATCTCCTTACATCAATTACATATCACATATCCATGTTAATAGGTTGACCACAGCGTAGCGGTTTGCTAAAATTGCAATCAAATCTTATTGGTCATTTACCTGGCAAGCGTCTTTCCCTCCTTCCTTTAATCCGGCACAAATGAAGTCCTCGTTGATAGGTTGGAAGTAGGTCCTGTCGCAGTCGTTGTTATTCCATACCGGCAAGTCGGCTTGTCTCTGCACAGTGCTCTCTTTGCCACCTTTGAACATAATATTTAAGTAAACGATTAAAAAACTATGATTTTAACACAGCCAAGGTGTATTTCTTATGGATTTTTGCCAACAACGCATTGCAGTTTAACAACCTCTATCTAGGTTTGGTTTTTTTTATCATTACTAGTAAGGGTTTGGACTTTACCATAATATGTTGTGCCCCAACCGACGACAGTGGGACTTTGACCGACGAACAAGTCCGACTTGGCGCTCTTCGGGGGCAAGCACAGCGGTATGATGTACTTGCTGCGTTTCACCGGCCTGTCCAACACGAGCACGGCAATGTCGTTGTAAAAACCTACTCTGGAGAACTTCTTGTGTCCCTTGACCTCGACCACATAGTAAGTTTCTGGAGACGAGGGTTCGTCGTCCCTGCGCAGGTCGACGTCACCTAGCCTGACGGTAAACTGTCTTGCGTTGAACCTGGCAAAAAAAAAAAGATATTATTGACATTTTATGTCTTTACTTTGACACACAACAGGAAAAATCGACAGCGTTAGCAAAAAACCTAACGAAAATGTATCCTTCTATCCTTCTATATCCTTAAACATCTTTAAACATCTTTATATCCTTATATATTTTTATATCCCTTATATCTGTAACAACTGTGAATAAGTGTGTAAGTCGATTTCAGTGATTTTACAGGAGAGCGATTATAAACTTTAAAGAAACCACTTGAGTACCTCTAAAGTATTTATCAATATAAAAGGATCATAAAAAAACAAATGTTTTAAATTGAATCCTCGTTATCCTGATCCTAACAGCTTAGGATTTAGCCAGATTTGGCAGCTGGTCAAAGTTTAAAATCGTTCGCCTGTAAAATCACTGAAATCGACGACTTGCACACTTATTCACAGTTGTTACATATTTATCCTTATAGATCCTTATACATCCTAATATATAATTAAAAAACATAAAATGTCTCCCAATTGAAGTAGAAAATTGAAAATTGGCTCGCGCACCGCTGGCGCCATCTAGCTGTCGCAGACGCAGTCAGCCTTATTTGTTTTTATTATTAACCTAACCGTGTTTGTGTGCCAAGTATTGATATAATAATAGTGTGAATGTTATTGCACTACTCACGGCTGTTGTCGATTGTCTCTGGTGCAATGAGCCGCGGTCAGGATATGCCTGGGGCCGATTAAGGAACCCCCACACCAAAATTCCGTTCTTCGGGGACCGTGCAAAAAAATAGCCGCCATCCAAGGCCATCGGCCGGGTAGAGCTTCGTCTCCACCGACCACTCTGAATTTTGGCACTTCCGGACGTCCGCAATCTAAAATAACAAATAGAGTATTATTATTTAAAAAAAATTGGAGTTATTATTTAGAACAAAAGCGACACGTTGTTTCATACAGTGATTCAGTCACAGTTCAGTCCATCATATTAAAACAGTTAAAGTCGGTTAAAATCACATTCAAACGTTTACTCCGATGCCAATCCCGTAGATGGTACAAGTACAAAAATCGATAAAAGCATTGTGATTATGTCCTCGTAATTGCATTTTTAGTAATTGGGTGGATCGTCTATGTGTAATAATATGTTGCTGTTGTTACTAATAGGCAGATAGAAAATATGTTTCGGATACCTGTCGACTATTGATTCACTCATACATAGCAATCTAGAAATTCACCACTGCTAGAGAGTAAATTTACCTTTTTTTTTCTTTTTCTAAAGATTCTTGAACCTGAATAATTGTCTACGTTAAAGGCCCACTCTAAATCCACCTTTGGTACCTAATATTCAGACCTTAACCCCTAAAACGGCATCTAGGTGCGATTTCTGATTTATAATGCTTGCCACACAAAGAAACCGGTTCAGCGCTTAAAAAAAGTATCATAGGAGCAGACATACAAAACTAAAATTTAAAAAAAAAACACATTACTGTAAAAAACAATTTTTGCTAGTAGATACAAGCCGAATAGTTAAATGCACCGAAATGGGAAAACGTGATCTGCAGTACCGCATCAAATTCAAAATGGGTTAACGGTGATCATAATAATAATAGATATAACAATATAGTGTGGTTTCCGGAAACGTTTTTTTTTTTTGTTGTTGTCTTCTGTGGGATGAGCGGACAATTAAGGTGCAAATTTAACCTTTTGCAATTGCCCAACGCACGCGAGAATTCAAAATTGAAATAATCTTAAACCAGACTACATTACAATGTAGTCATAAAGATAAGGGGAGGACGAGACACGGTTGAACGTAGGGTAGACAGTTAAGCTGCTTTTGTGAGGCTCGAGAGAAATTCAGAAAGTCGCTCACGGTGTGTGCACCTAACCTTTTTTTATATTTTGTCTTCTGCGGTTCAGTTAAATCCTAGTAAAATCAGCGCAATTCTACAAAAGACATTAGATCTATAGTGATAAACCGAATTACCTCCTTCGTCGATAACGTTAGTGGATACAGCAGAGCTTATGGTAGGCTTGGTTGCCAACTGGACGGGAGCTTTGGTGGACAGAGTGACGATGGTCGGAGGTGGTCGGGTGACTGTGACCGGCCGGTTGTTCACAGGTGGTCTGGTGACGGTCGTCACTTGTGTGTTGACTATGTGCTGTTGACTGGTCGGCTTTTCTGGTACAGATCTAGAATGGAAAAACAAAAAAAAACTTGTCAAAAATTTAAAAAAACAACATAAGATGCGGCTTTTTTGAAATAATGCTCCATTCAAGTTTGTACATTTTCTTTTAACATGTACATACACATCGGGTTGAATAAGAGAAATTTCACGACACCATTTTGCGTTATACTTTCAGTTAAAGATAAGAAATCATAGATAAATGATAAGAGATAGCTGATAACAGATAAGAGATAAATGATAAGAGATAAAATATCTATTATTAAATGTTTTTCCCCGGAGCAGAGAAAATAAATAGGTTTTTTAGTAAATTTTCGATTATGTTATTTAGAGGACTACTCTTGTGTTTAGAAAGTTATTAGTGTTCACTGTTTAATCACCCAACAGTTTAAAATGTATATTATTGTGGGACACTTTAAAGGTGATCAAAGGATTTAAAAGACAACAGGAAGCCTATAGAGTAGGGATAGGATCGATGATGTCAGCAACAAAAGTTTATGAACGTGGGTGACATAGTGTGACCTACAAAGACAAAGAAATAATACTTATTAAGTTGGGGGTATTCCAGCATTATAATTGGCATGTTTTACATTTTTTTTTTTAAATTTGAAGTGTGTTTAAGATAAACAAAACGTGTCAATCAGAATCATTTAATGTGCGGCAAAAACAAAAAAAAAAAGGCAATAAACAGGCATTTCCTCACACCATTGGCTTGTCCTAGGGCCTGCGGTTATAAGAAATTTGGTAACAATAATATTATTATTTAAACGTGTTGGATTTTTTACGTTTTTTTATTTTAATTTGGAAACTAGCACTACTTAATTTAATTCGGTTTTCGGTGTCGAAAGATGACGGTTTGACCACAACATTTGCGCTTTCGTGGAAATCTTGTCCTCTATTTTTTATTGTAGGTGTTTTATCTCTATATCATTTTAAATGGTACCTTTTTCTGTTTTCTGTTTAGATAAAAAAAAGTTAAATCACTCTAATAAATTAACTATAAAAAAAGAGCCCTAATTATACTAAACTAATAATTACACCCCACAGTTGAACAACAGGTTAAATAAAACCAGATAGGTAGTCTACTTTATAGTGAAACACAAGAAATTTAAATAACGATTTTTTTATTGGTTTAATTTTAATGCAATAGGGCCAACTTGTAGTGCCAATATTTATTGTAGACAATTTTTACAATGATAACTTAAACGTTTGTTTGCTGTACAACAGAAGGATTTTTTTTTCATTGTTCGGTCACACTGATCCGAGATTAATAAAGTTTGTTTACATTTTTCGTTATCTTCCACTATCTGGTTTTATCCAATCTGTGGTTTCACATTTAAAATTAATTTTTTTTATAAAATTGCCTACACACCTGACTCCTAATAAATAGGAGGTAAGACGTGACGTCTTAACGAAGCGTCTAAAATATCTAAAATGGTTGATCGACAGCTGCTCAATAATAATAATTTTACCTCGACGGCCGTCCAACGATTTGACGGCCTATTATTATGTCACAGCTGTTACGGTAGTGCTACTGGGGGTTTTATTTTTTTGGCGATTTTCGTAATTTTAATTTTCACTTTGGAACGGATTAAGAAGACCTGCAGAGCAAATGTATGCATGTTAGAACGGACAAAGCCATAACCACCGCGGAAGTACATTGTAATTTCGCCGTTTTACTTATTATAATGATTACCGAGAGCGCATACACACATGTGTAAAAATCGAGAGTTTCACCGGCGATCCATACAAAAGCCTATTGTTGTGTATCAAGTATAATATGTGTGCGACAAGTGCTTATTATTATGTTTTTTTTTAGTTTCCTCTAGAAAACCGTCGTTCTCAATGACGGTAATGTATGCGACGATCGGCGTCTTTGTGAAAATGAAAAGTGAAAATCACCGTTTGATTAGTCCTGACCGCACAAAACAGCCGTGTTAATGATTAGCAGATGAAATTCTAACGTGAACGCCACTTGCGTTAAATAGAGCGCAATGGCGGTTGCAAACCGAATGGCATTGTGTTTGATACTATATAATTATTTTTTTCCTCTGCCCTGTCATTGCCGTCTCGGCCAAAAGGTTAGGTCTGCGCGTGCAGGGTGATTGGTTAGGTACTATTAACCGGCGAACGTCTTGGGAGATATTTGACAGTTTTCAATATTATTCTCTTTCATACTTTTATAGAATTGACAAAGTCAACGTTATGGTTCGCTTTTGACATTTTCATGTCTTAGCTCTGGCACATAACCCAAAATAGTGTTAAAAAAAAAAGCGTTACGCTGTTATCTGATAAGAGATTAGAGATAAGAGATGAGGGATGGTGATAAGAATGGGGATGTTCATTTTTTTAAATTATGTGTTGTATTCACAACAATTCATCATATTCGCTATGAATTGTTTTGGGCCAGATATTATTATGAAAGCACTAAAATTATTAGCCAGAAACTTGATATGTTTACAAGCCACCTCAGATACTAGCTTGTTATTGCTTGTTATTATACTATTTCATTATCTATAATTCCACCACTACCTAAATTTATTCGGTACTTCAACGAGACATAAAAATGCCCTTTCGCGGTTGCGGACTCGTCTGAAAAATGTTTTATTTTTTTTTGAGAAAATATTCCCAAACCATCCCTATTCTATTGGGACATTTTGTTGATCTGAATACACCCCGAATATGGACAATTTTTGAGTCATGCCAAAAACAACGGAGTTGTAATATTTTAAAAGAAGCTACTCACTGCTCTGTCGATTTTCTAGGACAACACACACCGGGCACGAACAGGTTCTTGAAGCATATGGACTGCCGGAGTTGGCCTAGGTTAAGCAGCAGTTGAGGGCAGTTGCTTAGGTCTTCGCAGTTGCCCTGAGCACCGTCTGGAGTAGTGCACGGCCTGTTGTCTTGAGCCACAACTTTGCCCGATCCAAAACTCACAAGTGGCTTCACAACCATGTCGGTCACGTTTCGGCCGAGCACGTTTTTGCTGATTGTAAAAATGGCGGTCGGCAGATCACCACTTGGTTTCTGCAAACCTTCTCCCAGATTAATATAACTAGACACCTCATGCCACGACCCCACAAGTATTTTATAAATGCATTAACATTGGACAATAAACCATAATAATATACCAAAATCTGGGAAGACACAAATGAACAGCAGAAAAAAAGGTGTATGGATAAAAAAAAAACAGGAAAAATTGTGGAGAAAGATGATGACAACTGTCAGAAGATTTTACAGAATGTATAATTGTCCAGATACCGAAGAAAGCAACCGCAAAAACCCGAAAATAGTACAAAACCCTGAGCCTGACATCACATTCAAAACCCTTACAAGAATCTTATTAAAACAAAATAGAAGGACTACTAGCCGTAGGTCAATTTGGATTTAGAAAATGAACCGGCACGAGGAAAGTCACGATAGGTTGGTAAGGTTAGGTTCATGGTATGTGATTGGAAAGAAAAAGCAACTGTGATTTACTTTGTTGCTTTAGAAAAATATTTTGACAATGTTAAGTGGAATAAGTAATATTCGTAATATTGCAAAAAGTCATAGTAGCAACCAAATGTTTTATCTTTATAAAACATCTATTTAAATGCTTGTATGATTATAAAACAGAATTTATACAATATGGAAACAGTCTTGTTGAAGCAAAGGTAAAAAAAGAGTAAATCAAGGGTGCTCGCTATCATCTTATTTGTTTAATCTATATGCACAGAAGCCATCAACAGAGTGAGGGATCTCTTCGACAAGTCTATAGCCAAATAAAAACACCTTGGAAGTGATGGACGACGGTGAAGACGAAGCTTTCAAAAAGCTAAAGAAACAGTGCGTTAAGCAGGATACATGTGGACCAGTGCCATGGAAAACCGGTAGAGGAATACCTGCCTTAGCTACATTAAAAGGACATGAATTGCACATCATATTGCAAGCTAAAAAGGGAAATATGAGTGGTGGATGAGGTGGAGAGTTGTTGCTTGACAATGCTGGGTGCATTGTCTGGTTTTATCTGATCCGTGGCCCGATCATTAGGTGTGGTATTTGTTTGTAATAAAAATTCTTCTCTATAAATATGTACTTACTTACTGGATAAGACTGCATCGGGCTGTCGACGCGGTCGTCCGTCGTGCCCCTGGTGTAGTTGACTAAGTATCTACCGACCGTGTTGATGGCGCCCAGGGTTTCCGAAATCTTGGCTATGGCCTGCGGCGACAAGTACCGTGCTTCTTCGGACCCGGCGACAGGGTACTCGGGCTTTTCTTCTTGAGCTAATAAAGGCTGCTCTTGGAATTCGGAAGGAAGTTTGGCGCGCCTTCCAGACTTGGCGTGTCTACTCTCTGGGTAACTGAAGTTGCCACGGGCTTCGCCGATGTCGCCCGTGGGAAACCGGAACGTTTCCGGTAAGTCTGCCTGCCTCGGTGGTCGGCTAAAATAGTATTGCTGTTTGCTGGCGCCAAAATTGTACCCTGTGAAAAAAAAAACAATCATCCAGTTACAGAATAATCCATACAGAATGATATTTGTACAATAAGTAAATCTGATGACAATGACAAAGTTACAATAAATGGTAGAATAGGAAGACTCTCCTCCTGGCAGTGCCACCTGACAAAAATAATTAAGAATTTATATTGTGTTAAGCGGATCCCTGGGCCATTGCCCAATTAACACATATGTGTTAGGTAAATTCTATGCTCTATTTTCTTGACATTTTCAACTAAACAATAATGGTATGAAAAATTAATTTCGGACGAAAACGGTTTATTTCTCACGGGCCGTACGATGGGGTTACACAATCGTTACAAAATAATTCAAAACACATAATAGATATTGTATTATTTATGTTTACGACTCGAGAATACTGTTGTTGTTGTTGTAGTAAAAGTAATTTCAAAAATGTGTCACGTACTTAGTGTTGCATCAGTCGGTCACACGTAGATCCGCCTTTGAGCAAAAATCGTACATCTCAGTCTTATGTAACCTTATGCAAAACACAAGTGATGCAATTTATTTTTTATCTATGCACATTTTTAGCTTAAACAAGCCACAGTCGTGCACGTGTAATTTACCTAACTACCGAAAATTGTCAACAATAAGGTTGGGGGGATTTTTAAAAAAATCTGTTTTGAGTTTACACGGATTGAACCTTTTGAAGTATAGAAACGAGTGCCTATATAAAATAATGATTAAAAATATACATCTGTTTCTCCCACAGGTCGTTGCCGTGGAATATTACCCAGCTTAAGCGTGGTCGGGTCATTTAGGACGTTTCAAGTGCGTTTGTATGTATACATAAGTACACTTTAATTTATATATCTGTACAGAGATAGAGAGAGAGAGAGTTGCTACCGCAAAACCGACAAAGAATGGCACAAATTATTACACCAGGTATCCAGGTATAGGTGTATAGGCTGTTTGCCGGTGCAAAAGAGAATTCAATCGATGCGATAAAGCGCTCTATTCGCCGGCCTACTTTGATTATGAACAGAGATCAGAGTAGAAAAACATACAATCAATGGAATTAGCTTGGATGATATACTTAGATGGGCCAGACTTAAAATAAAATCTGGCTATGCTGAGAAGGTGTTGCCTAGTTTCCAATGTAATGTGTTTTTAAAATTTTAATCCAAACCCGAGGCTCTGCAAAACAATCCGACTTAAATAAATTACAAGTATCTCCATTTCTTTTAACAAACGGTGCGCCTTACTTATCAAACCTGACATTACACTCAGACCTCTAAATTAAAACTGTTTTCCGAATTGCACTAGCTGTACACTAGCTTAACAGCTGTACACCTAGCCATCACAATTCCCTAAAAAATCATCCTAATACTCTTGTACAAAATCTATCACCACCAATAATGCCTGACAACCCTCTCAAAAGGATAACATAGAAGTATGCTTCAAATAAAAGACAAATAAAAAATGTATTTATTTAAATCAATGAGAAGGTTTTTATGGAGAGAACTGTTTGAAACGTAGAAAGGAGCTTTAGAAGGCATTAAGATTGGAAAGTTTGTATTTTATGTTGGATTGTTTGGCTGTGTCCCATAGCTGGATTCCATAAGACCGTGTAGGTTTTAAGATTAATCCTATAGAGAAGGATTTTATTATTAAGGTTAACGCGTTTAGATAGTGTTTTTATAAGTAGGAGATACAACTAAGACAATAAAGTGAAATAATCAAAGACTTGTCATTCTCTGTTAGAGCTTACATGGAAATAGTGTAAAAAGTAAGTATCCAAGACACCCTTTTATATAAGCCCAAAGAATGATATAGATTTGGTGTCAATTAACGAGCGATTTACTTCAAACAATTTTGATCGGTTAATATATACATCATGTCATAATGATCATTCGTCTTGTCTGATTGTGAATCTGATAAAAGTCAATTCCGGAGTACACATACTATTGTAGTTCAAGCCCAAATGTTTTGTTCTCAAAGATCTCGAGAGCGTTTTTCTATTATGGTTATTGACATACTGTTATATAGGGACTTAATTGAGAGTGTGTAGGCACGTTGTACAGTAGGTCGGATCGATAAGGAGTCGGTTGTGCTAAGAAACCAACGAAGACGTTTGCACGCCATAATCCTTATTCGTGGATTATTTTTCTAAATTAATCTGCTTGCTAAACTGATAATATACAAAAGCTTTATCGAACCAGTGTGGTCAATCTTCGCCGAATTCTTAAATGCCCGCCATACATAATATCAAACGAAACGATTCATAACGACCTTCGCCTACTCGCTGTAAAACAAACTGTTGTCTTTAGATGTAAACACTTTTACAACCGTCTCTTGAATCATCTTGAAACACTCTTATTATCTGTCCTCCCACATGATCCCTGATAATCTCCCTCGTTGCTTAAAAAGACTTCTTGGAATTTCAACACTTGATCCCCCACGAAAAGCGTACACAGAGCCAAGGACATTCGATGCTATTTTTTTTACTCATGTTCTTATCGGATCGATTTCACTTTAGCAGCGTTTATATTATAATATATTGTACACATAATAATAGCGTGTGTGTGTGTGTGTGATAATCATATTATGTAGGTACTTGCTGTGCCGGGCACACACTCAGCGTTCTAAGGAACACCGCGATTGTAGCTGTTTTGCAGTAAACAATGCTAACCCAGACAACTTGAAAAATGTACTGTAATACTAGTATGCCGTTAAGGATTAAAATCCTTGAAAGTAAAGTCAATATAAAGTACCAGGAATTACTGGGTTCTAGTACAGTGTTTCAGGAAATTAGCTAAGACTCATAGAGTAGTATTTTGTGTAGTAGATTTGTTTATTGTATTGTATTATAAATATAGATTTATTTATTTAATATATATATATATTAAAACTATTTTAGCATAGCAGTTGTTATTAAAGAGATGGATTTAATCTATGAACTAGTTGTATACAACAATCATATCAATATTATAACCCATAACGTGTATATTTTAAATTATAAATTGTTTTATTATTTAGTGGCGTTATTTTTATGTTGTAATTATTATTTTTTTTTTCTTTTCACTAATCATTGATTAATAATTTGTAGAAACATTTACATTTATTTACTATTAATTTGCTGCTTATAATTGAGATTATTATTATTATTTTTAGAGGCTCTCGTCCATCAAAACGAGGATTTTATGCTTAGTAATGGACGAAGCAGTGCAATATCAATATAATATGTAATAATTTTTTGTAAATGTCATTACTGCTAAATACAATTATCTATCAATCTATTTAGGCAACACTGTTATTCCTCGTGATTAAAATCCGGAAACATACGCTTTAAAAAGTGTATTAAGATAGAAAATTTAACAAAAGTGTAACTGTTTTGTAGACTTGATTTTAAAACTTGACAGTATAATTTTAAATAGTAAAAATCATGTAGTTTTTAACGGTCTCGATGGTTTTTTCATAGAAATGTTTTGTGGAGCTCCCTAACGTGCAAAATTAAATGTGGTCTTTCAACGGCTAACATGCAAATTCACATTACAATTCCTGACTCTCTTTAAAAGATCATACCATAATAAGGTATGTTTATAACCTACCGCTATTATGATAATAGTTAATTTAGAGATGGTCACCGACAAAATGGAAAACTGTTAGTTTCATTAGTGAATTCATAGCCAATCATTTATTTGTATGTGGTTACATGCCATACCTAAACCACAGACGGCACTTGTACGCATTTTCTCCTTTCTACACCTCATCGGTACAACTTAAAAATAACGAAGGTGTCGAATTATCAAAGCGAAATTACCAAAAACATAAATGACATTATGGTTGAAATCCATTAATAATATTTGAACCGCTCGACGGATAAGGAATTTTCGTTGAACGTGAAAAAAATATATACTCTGGAAATTCAACAACACATTAAATACAGATAAAACGGAAAAGTTGATTAGCGCCCGTTAGTAGAAGGAAATATACTTTTAAACCACAATGTGAAAATAATGGCGCCATGTACAATCTGTTGACATCCGCGTGTGGGAGCAGGCGAAAGCAATCGCACTCTCAAATCGACGTTTATTTACTTTTCACACTTCCTCGCCGACATTGGGACCTACAAAAAATATATTGCCAATACACAACTACTGCACTTCGACTTGTAAATATTAACCTTAGTGGCGAAGCAATACCTAAAAAACGATACAGGCGAGGTACCCCGCTTTCAATAAAATACAAATACTGCTAATTGTGCAAGTCGGAAACTGTATGCGAGGCTTATGTAACGTTTCATATATTATCATCTGCACAGCAAAATTCACATCCAGTGTTGGAGTTTATTTCGTAACAATTCTGACTGTAAAACATTAAGTTTTTTTTAAATTTTTTATTCCATACAGCGTCACTTGTCAGCCAGAAGGTTACCGAGTATTCCGTTTGTTTGTTTGTTGTACACGGTACGGCTGTGAGACCCGCGTAAAGAACCATTGCTCTGAAATAAACGGTGTTTACACCTGAAAGACTTTCACTTGTCAGGTCGCGTCTGAGGCGTGGCTATGGGATAGGTAAGTTTGCCTTCTAAAAAAAAACAACAACAACAACAACTACTACACAAAGACGATGCGACCCACACTAATTAACGCATAGAGTAACAATAACATATAATATATACATATATATATATATTATACTTAAATGTACCTATACTTTTTTTTAAATGATTGTTTTTTCGCACTTTAATAGTTATTAGTTACCTAACCCGAATTTTGTTTATTTTTCATAGTGATAACTGATAACTGATAAGACAATTTCTGGAAAACGTGTAAGAGATTACTGATAACATATTCAGCTGATAACAGATAGAAAATCCCAACTGAACTCCACCTCGCGTTCTAAATTTTAAACTATAACAACTTAAAAACTGTTTATTCAAAACGGGTTGTCGACCGGCCAACATTTTCAGCAAGTTATTCTCAAGTTTAAAAGTTCATAAAACATGTAAACAATATCATTA